GGGTCCAATCTGGGAGAACTGTTTGGCGCAGTGTTTGTCATCTTTCTCAATAACCGCGTGCGCACTCCCATGCCTTGGCTGCGAGTTGATGCGCTCATGCTTCTCATCACATGGTATCTGCCCTTCTGGAAACCCCCAGTGCGTCGGGTCCGAGATGCTTTGTTCGCTGCCCTCAGCTTTGTCCCCGTTTCTTTTGGCTGGGCGGCTGGTGATGTCTCGCTGGCGGCGTATATCCAGGCGACGCTGACACGAATGGAGTCTACGTCGAAAAATGTTTCTGCGCTCGGGGCTGTCATGGCGTTCTTGTATTCCACTTATATCGTGCTGTACGCTATTACCTCTCCGCTGCTGGGAAGTTACATTGACCGGGTGTATGTGGAAACCGGAGGTCCAGTTGGAGGGGGTGATATCCATCTGGCTATTCGGAATGTGGCCAGTGTGCAGCTCAGTGTGATATCCTTGCTGGTACTTGTTTCCTCGTTTGTGCCTCGGGGGTCGCTGGCGCTGAGTCCGGTGGCGCTGGATGACGAAGACCTGGAGGAGGAGGATTGGGGGAACGATGTGCTGTCCTCGAAAGCGAGTGTTGTGAGCTTGCCCTTATAAGTGTGGACTTTAAACAGGTCAGCAGTACCAGTCTGCCATTGATATTTAGCACCACAAGTACCAGTTAGTCGTAGTGCAAAAGTTTTAATAGCTCTAATGTGAACAACACTCAAAGCACGGAAGTCTCAAAGCACTAAAACTGGCAAGTTGGTGCACTCTAGCAAACTGTAGGTTATTATCCGGGCATATCCTGTGCTCAATAATTCAGTCAAAGCGGCCCAGTAGGCAAACAAATAAAAACTGTTCAGCGAAGCACACGGGTCCACCTTGCACCCACCACCACCAACATGAGCGCAGCTGGCTAATGAGTCTTCTCTCCCACGCAATATCCCGGAATCAACAGAAGGGAAACAGTTAATACAGCCCAGGTCATAAGTTAGCAGCGACCCCTCACACTCCCCACTATTTCACCCTGGTCTTGCAAAGATTGCAATAGGTGACTCGCAAGATCCAGGCAAACCGGCTATTCAGGATAAATTTGTGGAGGAGCACCTCAGGTATTCGCGATCGGGAAGTTCGAGCCACGACTGACTGAAAGCGGAATGTTTAACCACGCCGAAGCGGGAGGTGGAGTGGATATTCTTCAGCGATTCTCTCGTCTAGCATCTCCATTTCTGATGTCTGGGGAGGGTTCTTCGGCGACTATTACCCCACAATGCAGGCATCCGCATCCCCGCATGCCGATCAGTAGTCAATATGGCTCGTGTCGAGGGTCATGGCCATCATCCGAAGTTTCACCGGGGACAAACAAGTCGTTTGCGTCCAGCAAAGGGTATAAATATGTCTGTCGTTCCATCTGCGGTGAGTAGAATCGGGCAAGTCTCTCTTCAGTCGCATTCATCCTCAAAATGAGGTTCCATGGGTGTCTACCGCTCCTCGGCGCAGGGCTGGCTCTGGCTCTCCCTCATGGCCGAGCCAGCTCGAACGGATCCCTTCTCTCCTATCCGACCAAGCCGCGCATCTTTATTATGTCAGATATTGCCAATGAACCCGATGACTCTGAGTCTCTTGTTCGCTATCTCGTCTACAGTAACCAGTTCCAGAATGAAGGGCTTGTGGCCGTCACTTCCACGTGGCTGAAAGACCAAGTACGCCCGGACTTGATGCTGGAGACCATTGATGCCTACGCGAAGGTGGTAGATAACTTGAATAAACATGCTCCTGAGGATTCGCCGTATCCTTCGGCAGAATACATGAGAGGGATTGTGTCTCATGGTCTTCCGGTATGTCCAGCCCTGCGCTACAGACATTAACCATAACTAACCTGATGTAGGTATATGGCATGGAGGCTCTCAAGAACAATAACACCTATAGCCCCGGTGCTGAGCTCCTCATCAAGAGTCTCACCAACACAACCTCTGGGCAGCCCCTCTGGGTCTTGTCTTGGGGCGGCGACAACGTCCTTGCACAGGCTCTCCTGAACATATCTCTCACATATTCTCCCTCTGAAGCAGCATCATTCCGCTCAAACCTATGGGTCTACACCATCTCCGATCAAGACGACACCGGGGCTTGGATCCGCAATAACTGGCCCGAAATCCACTTTATAAACTCCATGCATGCCTTTAATCAGTATGGAGTGGCTACCTGGCCGGGGATCTCAGGCGAGATCAACTATGAATTTGATAAAGGCGGCCCAGATTCGTCGTATGTGACGCACGAGTGGCTGAAGAAGAACATCCGGATCGGACCACTCGGAGCCAAGTATCCCGACTTCGAATATATTATGGAGGGAGATAGCCCTACGCTGTTGTATATGATCCAGAACGGGCTGGGCGATCCCGAACACCCGAACTATGGCAGTTGGGGCGGACGGTACGCGCCAGTGTGTGAAACATGTGACTGGGACAACCACTACAGCGATACGGACGACCAGGTCATCGGCATGAACAACGAAACTTTCACATCCAACAAAGCGACAATTTGGCGTTGGAGAGAGGCATACCAAAATGACTTTGCGGCACGCATGCAGTGGACATTGTCTGCTTCGGAGACGAACAAGACATGGAATCACCACCCGGTGGTGGTTGTAAACGGGGCGGGCGGGTTGCATCCTGTCACTGTCAATGCGTCCGTGGGGGCGAAAATCACCTTGGATGCGGGAGAGACATATGATCCCGACGGAGATGGTCTATCCTTTGAATGGTTCCAGTATCTGGAGCCGTCTACGGATAACGCGAGCACGGAAGGGAACGTAGCCGATCTGATTATAACGACCAGTTCTGGTGGAAGAGTCGCAACGGTTAAGGTTCCGACAGCGGAGGACAGCTGCGACGAGGATGGCTGCCAATTGTTGCATTTAATTCTACAAGTAAAAGACACTGGGAATCCGCCGTTGACCACATACCGACGCACACTGATCCAAGTGTCGAACAGCACGTCAGTCTAGCTACAGATACTACAGAGACCCCTATTCTTACCTCCGAGACCTGTCAAATGAATGTAAAACATATTGAAGCTACACACAAATCCATCCCGCCTGGTGACAGGACAGGCCGCTGCTGCCAAGATCATCGTGTCCAGCCCTAACCAGTCAGCGCTACGGGCTGATGGATGCGGGAACACGAGGTGTGAGTTGGGAAGAGGCTGTCCATCCATGATCCATGCATCTCGTAGGAGGAAAAATAATCCTCAGCCCCTCTTCTGTGCAATTCGGGCATCTGCCTATGCATCATCTTTTCCGGCCATCTCATCGTAGTTTCTTTGTTATCTCATCCAGGGGCAACCGTCTTTTTTTTTCTTCCCTTTCTTTGTGGCCGCCCGTCGACCTTTTTTGCCTGTCCTTCGGAACGACTTCCCCGTCTTGAATCTTAAGTATATCGCGCACATACCTGATGAAATGCTATCCATCCTAATGGCAGCCCATCTGCTCGTCCTTGTGGCAATGCTGCTCGCTACTACTGCATCAGCCCAATCTCACAGCAGCACGACCGGTATCTCAACGACTTCCACCACCAGAGCAACGTCCACCACAACCACCGCGATAGCAACCCATACTGTTCAGGTCGGCTCAAAAGAAGATCCCCATCAATACTCGCCCCATAATGTCTCCGCTGCGGTCGGCGATATTATCGTCTTCGAGTTCTATCCGAGAAACCACTCCGTCGTGAAAGCAGATTATCTTGCGCCGTGTGTGCCTGCCAGCGGGGAGATCTTCTACTCGGGAATATTCAATAGTTTCAATGAGGAGGATGGTCAGTTGGTCGGACCGGTATGTCTACTCCCATACTCTTCACATCAGCCTCGCCCTCATACTAATCCCATAACATAGCCCCCAACCTGGTCCCTAGTCGTCAACGACACCGAGGTACATCCCATCCATCCACCCACCCTAACCCATCCAGAGCATCACTAAGGACCACCAGCCCACATTCTTCTACTGCACCGCCATAGACTCCTGCATCGGCAACGGCATGGTTGGTGTCATTAACCCAGTATTTCCTCCCCCTCCCCTTCCCCTCTCTCATCCAAGCTAACCCTGTAGAACTCCACCATGACCTTCGAATCGCAATATAATCGCGCAAAAACCTACCCCTACATGCTCGTCCCAGGCCAGTCCATCCCCGCCGAAGGCACCATCGCCCCGACATCTACATCAACCTCGACCTCATCCCCCTCTAACACCCCCTCCTCAAGTTCTCCAGCGCTCAGCACCGGCGCCATCGTCGGTATCGTCATCGGCTCTGTGGCCTTCATCGCTATTCTCGGCGCGTTGTTCTTCCTCCTCGGAAGAAATCGCGTCTATCGGCAGTGGATGTCTAGTCAGGATGGAAGACATGAGCGGACCGCGAGGTGGGCGGCGCTGTTGAGTCCGGGACAGAGTACTGGGAAGGGGGGTGGTAATTCTGCTGCCGGTGGCGGTGGTGGTGGTGGAGGGCAGAGGAAGAGTGAGATGGATGGCGGGAGTGCGTTAGTGCCGCAGAGTGAGTTTAGTGGTGCGACTGTTGGGCCGGGGTTGTCGCCGCCATTGGGGCAGGGGATGTGGGGGTGGGATGGGCAGCAGTCGCCGCAGCATATGCAGATGCAGCAGCAGGTTGGAGGAGGGATTTATCAAGGGCCGCATGGTCAGGGACACGGACAGGGACAGGTGATGTATGAGGCGATGGTTAGAGGGCCGTCGGAGTTGGATGGGTCGGGAACGGGGAGGACGTGATGATAATTTGGAAGTACTTGGTTTTAGTTGGAGTTGAACAGGTGTTTTGGTATGTTTATATTATGGATATGGATGCTATGATCATGTACTGTACCTGTTATGCTATTATGCAATTCATTACTTCCGGGATATACCAGTTTTCAAATAATGCAACGATTCAGAACCTGCAAATCAATATACATACTACCCAGTAGTAGCATCCTTTCTACCCAACACTCAAGTATATACTCCCAGCAAGGGAAAACTAAGAGCAGTTCGACCCCCCATAAACAAAAGTTCCATCAGAGTCCTCACATCCACAAGTTCCATCATCAGGGCTGCGAATGCATCCGGTTCCAACGCCGGAGGACTCGCCGTTGTCGCTACACAAAGCCAGTTAGCATAACCCCACATTAAATCACACCCCGGGGACTAGCGGTGATTGAATGACAGAAGTAGAGTGGGGATGGACATACTTCCAAAAGAACGTCCAGCAATCATCATCATCATCCGTCATCTCGCTATCCGTCGGCGCGGTGCAAGTGTACGCTTTGCAGGTACCGTAGGGAGCGCCGTAGGAGGAGTCGTACTCGTGATCGGTGACGAAGACGGCGAAGGTTTGGGTTCCTGCATTGCATTTATCAGCATATCATTTTTATCTTTATGGACTAGAGGTGTGGACGTACCGGAAGTACGAGTGTTGTGGGAGCACTCAGCTGCCTGGATGGCGGTGGAGGTTTTGGCGGCTATAGGTTTATTATCATCATTAGTATTTATCTTCTCTTATACTTGTAGTGGGGATTGCTATTATGGAGCAAGGATAGGATAGAATAGAATAGAATACACACCAGAGCAGTTATAAGTACCCGGACACTTTCCCTTAGTGTTCGAGCTGGCCGGGTCAACGGTCGCAGCAGCCAGAGCGGCGCTGAGGAGGATAGTGAGGAGGGATTTGGTCTGCATGGTGATTCTTTCTTTCTTCTTCCTTTGCTTCTTGGATAACAAGCTTTTTGTTTAGTTTGTAGCTACTTAGTGACGATGCCGTCCTTATATATTCACCACGATCCACCTATATAACCACCGCATTATACATCCATCACTTCATCTCAAACAGGGGGTGGAGCCCATCTCCCGGTCTAGAAGTGTTCTGGTGTTTCGTCTCACGGTGGCTACTGGCTAGTCTAGTCTAATACTTAAGCTTGTTTGAGGTGGGGATCCACCCACACTACGGGTGGTAGATTAAGGGATGATTTCACCGCGGTGCAGTGGGTTTTACCGTGAGATTTCGTACGATCGGTGAGGATCGATGTCTGATTTCTAGACTAGATTTCTAGTAGTATTGTATATGTTTAATATGAAGATGTGGGTACGTTTGGTTGGTGGTTGCCTGGAGATCGGGCTTATCTGATGTACGTAGTCTACGTGGACGTGTGGGTGGGTTGCCGAGTCAGGCCATACTTGATACATGGGATGCTGGAGCTTAGGTTGTGAGTACGTATTCCTACTTGGCAGGCTACGGTGGATACTGTCTACTGCGGGATTGATGGGCGTGAAATTCCATTTATCGGTCTGTTCTAGATCGACTTCTATCTGTCGCGTCTTTCATTTCCGGCCGTTCGTCAGTCGTAAATCCACCAATATTTCCCAAGTCATAATTTCATGATAATATATTCCTCTGTGACGCCTCCGTCTTGCTCATACCCCGTCTCTCTACCGCGTTGAAGTCGTAGATCATAACCAAACTCCCAGCCTGACCAGCTATCATGCTTCGACGTGGCTGCGTACCTCCAGAGGCACACAGTCCGGCCCGAGCTTCGTCACCAAAATCTCTGCTCTGTCGGGTGTCCAATCTCCTATACCGGTTCCTAAATCAGCCAATGGAATAACTATGTCGAGGTCCAGCGCTGAGGGATCCAAGTCCGCATTGGACGAAACAATGGCCCGGATGAGTTGGTGGGCAGACGTCCGACCTGCTATGCCGCAGCCTGACCTCTTGCACACCGGAATGGCGACCTCAAAAACCTGAGCTTCCGCTGATCCCCCAAGTGTGGCATTCATATCCGGGAACTTCCACCGACTATGAACAAGCTGTCCCAATCGCATGATCAGCCGGCGTCGGGGGCCATCCTCCAGTCCGGATTTGCTAGTCCGTGTGAACATAATGGGCTGGTGCACGAATTTTCGGGCGGGAGTCGGCTCTGAGCAAATAGCACAGGCAAATTTGGCGATCTGAGGAAGGCACTGCTCGTTGTACTTTATGATGTCTTTGCATTTCACTGCCTTGTCGGCTTTGTTTTTGCACGAGTTCGGGAAAAAGTCCTGGCGCCAATCGGATGTGAGTACAATGCAGCTGAGATGGACGGGTCGATCTTTCTGAGCACGTGGACTTCCCACGAAAACGGTGATGGCGATCGGGTAGAGCTTTTCGCGTTCTGGCTCAACGATTTGGAAGGACAGGGAGCTTGGGGAGCTCGCTCCACTGACGATATCGTAGTCTTCCATGCTGTCGGTGCTGTCGTCACTGAAGTGGCTGTGCTCCTTGAGGCTGGAGGGATCAATTTCGAGATGATCGGGATTATCGCTAATATTCAGCAACTGCGTGGCCGGAGCTTTCTCAGGCTCATTCTGATAGATCTCAGACCAGGCGGAGGCGGAGGCGAAGCCAAAGCCACTGCTGGCGCTCAGCCGCGGTCGAGGAGAGTCGGATTGGGAAGCAAGGGTGCTGCCGGGACTGGAGGCAAGGGACCCGATTGGGCTGGCGAGCGTGTTGTTGATTGTTGTTGAGTCCGACATCTTCGAAGCCGATACCCAGGAGAGTCAACAAAGATGAGACTGACGTCATGAGCGGTGACAGGGACGTGCCATAGTGAAAATTTCATATACGATGAGTTTGTAGTGAGAGAAGGCTGATAACACTGAATGCATTGTCTAGTGAATGGCCTATTGGTGTTGCACAGCAGCGATAAGAACATCTGCCATGTTTCACATTCGGTAGGATAATAAGATTAAGATCCTCATTTCATCAAGTACGCACTTGATTGCACTGGAAGCTGAGTACGTAGATAGATCCCAGGCCAAGTGTTTTGTGGGTGGTACTAATAAGTGTGCAGCGCCCGGAGAGATGTAGATGGAGAGGCAGCCAGGCACGACTATCAAAGAGGGGGGATATTAATAGTTAGTTAAGTACTACTAGTTAGTCGCGGCGGCCCGCCAGTCATCTAATTTCAACCACGCCCGATTGGGTTGAGGGGTCAGCATTCAGCTGTAAGACTAAATACAAGTGCAAGCAGGCTCAGCTAGACCCCCAGAAATAACCCCAAATTGTACATCATGAGACAGCTGAAACAAGAAATTGTTGCATCGATTGCAGCCAGTTTGCAAGCCAGACGATGGCTGGCCAAGGAGAGTGGAGAGAATTACTACGAGTAATAATTGGGGAAAGGAAAGAACCAGACCACCGCAAGCGGGTACCACGTGATGTGGAGGCGGCATTGCCCCTTTGCGGCCGGAAAAGAAACCTCCCAGATTCCTGCTTCCTGCCACCCTCGACGACCGCTTATCGGCTTCGCTCCTTTCCCTTCTTGCATGTATTCTACTTGTTTGCTTCATATGACCAGTCCACTTCGTTGACTCCGCGCTTCGTTTCTCGTCTCGCCATTGTTCCCGATCGCGTGTCGTGAGTCCGCTCGGATCGCTGTCGTGGCTTGATTTACACCGATCGACGTACCTGGAACCAAACTTTCTCGTCAATCCTTCATTTACGGCCTTTTCTTATCCGTTCATGTGGACTACTGCTTGTATCATCTACACTACGTTTCAATCTTTTTGCAATTGTTCCAACTGCCACGATAACAGCCCTGCACCATGAAGATTCATTCTTCGTCGCTCCTCCTCTTCCTCCTTCCTGCGCTTTCGGTCGCGCTCACGGATCCGAGCTCGGCCAACAACGGTGCAAAAGACGCTCTTCTCGCAGAGCGGGAAGCTTCGACTCCAAATGCTGTCGAAATAGATGCCGCCGCCGCACCCAAACCCGCCAAAGGGACGCTGGACGCCCCGATCGACGGCAAGGATGGTCGGCCACATGCGGGTCCCTGGGTGGAAACAAGTGCAGAGCGGGATCGCAAGAAGACGGGCTCTACCACCTTGTCGGAGGAAAAGGCAAAGACCGATCCTAAAGCGGAACAATTGGGCCCTGATGGCAACCCAATTCCCTACTCCAATGACGGCGTGATGGATGATCCTCATCGGACGGGCCCCAAGGAGGGTACTCGTGGAACAGAAGGTGGGGTGTCTGAGAAGTTGAGGGAGCCATACAACAATGAAAAGACGCCGGGTAGTCCCAAGGAGGCTCCTCCGTTGCCGCACAGTGAGCAGCAAAAGCTGCCAGTGGCGGGTCAGGATGCCGAGGTCAAGGACACCAAGGGATCGAGCACTGACTCGACCCTCGGAAAATTGGAGGTATTTACGACCTTCTATCATGAGATTTGATGGCGCTTGCTGATGTATTTCAGAAACCCGCAGATTTGCCAGAAAAGCCCCACGACATCCCACCTCCCAAGTCCCCGGCCACTGTCAAAGATAGCCCTCTCGGTCTCGATAAGCATGGCTCCTCGGGCATCAAGGCTGGCGAGCCTCTGGAGGAGGGAACTGCGTTCCATTCGTTGTTGTTCTCCTTCACCATGATTATCGTATCTGAAATTGGTGACAAGACTTTCCTGGTTGCCGCGCTCATGGCTATGCGTCATCCGCGTCTGCTTGTTTTCTCCGCCGCTTTCAGCGCCCTCATCTTCATGACTGTTCTCTCAGCTGTCCTAGGACATGCAGTACCTACTCTGATTCCCAAGTCTTTGACGAAATTGTTGGCGGCCGTTCTGTTCTTCGTGTTCGGTTTGAAGATGCTCAAGGAAGGTCGCGAAATGTCGCCCGACGAGGGTGTTGGAGAGGAGATGAAGGAGGTCGAAATGGAACTGGAAGAAAAGGAGCAAGAGCAGCTGCGTATGAACCGTCGCCGTTCGTCCGTGACTCCTCACTCGTTGGAAGCTGGCCGCGTCGGTCGTCGCAAGTCTCGCTCCTCCGGCAACCGTCTTCCCTCACCTCCCGAGAGTGTTTCATCATCGTCCTCTCGTGCTTCCTCTCCCTCTGGTAACCGCTGGAACGATGTTCTCGTCGGAATGAACAACCTTTTCTCGCTTCTTCTCAGTCCCGCCTGGGTTCAGACTTTCGTTATGACCTTCCTGGGCGAGTGGGGTGACCGCAGTCAGATTGCAACCATTGCTATGGCTGCCGGTCAAGATTACTGGTGGGTGACCATCGGTGCTATCTCCGGACACGGACTTTGCACTGCGGCCGCCGTTATTGGCGGCAGTGCTATTGCTGGCAAGGTCAGCATGCGCGTCGGTATGTGCTCCTCCTTTCTAGTTTCACAGCTGTTGCTAACGTGTCACAGTAACGCTGGGCGGTGCCACGGCATTCTTGGTCTTTGGTGTCATCTACTTGTTTGAAGCCATCTATTAGACCTTCATTTGCTCCCGCTTGTCTCTCACATATCGGGTGGTTCTCTTCAGTATAGATTATGCGATATGGTGCTTGTAATATTCGCGCCTTAGCGATGTTTTAATAAAATTCTTGATGCACTATAATAGATTTATCATTCAGAGTGATGCGTATTCTGTAGTGTATCGATGCGACTATCCAGGTTTGGACTCTCGTTTGGACTTTTGTTCCTCTGACCAACCTCAGTAGGGCAACCAGCATGTGCTGCATAGTGAGCGCAATCAACTCCAACAATCCATGTAATCAGTAACACTCAATCCAAGCATATAGTTGCCCAGTCTATCAGGCCAATATTGGCACTATGCGTCAAAGAGAGAAAGGATACACCCAGAGTCTGAGCAAAATCATACAATATGACTGCCCTTCGAAGACCATCTTGTCTATCCACTGCAACACTGGCAGCTTCATCCCTAATATCTTTCCAGATATGCCTCGTAGTTCGTAACAAACTCTTGAGTTCAATGAGCGCACTAGCACATGTTCATGAGAAATTGAAGATCCATATTCAATTACCAGTCTAGCAAAATTGCAGAATGAACATCAGGTATACTAGATTCGGCCCAGTGGCTTTACAGGCCAAGCTGTGATGTAGATGATTCTCTAATTCTAAACCCTAATGGTAGTTGAAAGCGGACGTACGTGCGTACATTTCAGTAACATGGACTGAGGTCTGATATCCACAGGCTCATGTCCTCTAAGCAGTCATTTTTCGATAGTAAGGATCCATTAATAGTGGTGGTAGTCCAAATGGTCCTCTAATTCATAGTCCGATAATACATGATAAACCGTAGGGTTTCTAGGGTTTTGGTTAGGGTTTATGTAGGGTTTGAGGGTTTTTTGATACCGCCTTCTTTTCTGGGCCTAGTGACCGTTTTACTAAGTACTTAGTAAGCAACTTACCCCAAGGGTTTGACCGCTAGTACCCCAACACACCACCAGTCTCCTTTTCCTTACTCTACGCCGTCCCAGCCATCGACAACATCACTGCGGCATCAAAACAACAGTCGTAATCATCAATCTGCATCAATTTGAGGCTTCTAGCATCGATAGCAGACCGTCTGGAGTATAAAGCTCCGCATTTCCACGTGCTTGGACGGCTGACCGCCTTCCTTTTTTCTCGGACGCGTTTGTTGTGGTGGCAGAATGGCGCGGCTGGTTCAGTCACGAGAGGTCGCACAATCCTCGACTGGTTTGTCGAAAGGTCAAAAGGTTTGGACGGGGAGTCCTATGCGGAGACGTGTCACCAGAAGTCAGAGTCGCGAGTTAGAGGAACTTAGGACCCAACAGGCTCCTCGTGTTAGTGGTGGTGATGATGGCGAGCCGTCGGCAGGTGCTGGTCGGAGAAGGTGGGGCACCCAAAGTAAGGGACCAGTGAGCGGGAAGGGTGAGTCTCTTTCTTACTGTTAGTGGTTCTTTGAGGCGCCTCTCATTGTTCTTGGTGCAGGCTTAGATGTTGTGGTTGAAGAATCACCGCAAAGGTCGGCTCAGAAGACTGGCCCGCAGTATGGGAACCAGGTCATTCCTGAGACTCCGGAAGATGAACACAACATCTCCGGTACTACTATTCTTCCCTCAGAACCGGACCATGATCTGGATGTGGATATCATGGTCGAGGCACTGCCGGACTTGGAGCGTGCAGCTGCCAATGTACTTGATTTCCTCGTTCCTGGGTCGGCAGATCCAGTCAGCATCATGAGCAGGGCGAAGCAGCTGAGGGATCCTGCTGGCACTCAGAGCAGACGGCTGCAGAGGTCTGTGACTAACTTGAACCATGAAGCGAAGTACTTTGGTCAAAAGAGCCCTCTCACTTATCTTGATGTGGAGTACATTGTGGAAGTCAGTGGGCTTGAAGACTACTCGAAGCCTGTGCTCTACAAAGCCAATTGTGCTCGTTTTGCGTTGCGAATGCTCCTCGCTACACCTGGTACTGAGTCCTCTCCAGAGCAGGCAATTTCCACCATCCATGATGAGTTTCCGTCGCCTTTCATGGCTAATCTGGTGGAAAGGGGTGCCCAAAAGTCTATCGATGAAAGCTATCTGGAGAAGGAGACTTGGGAGCTGGCTCTGGAGATTCGCACACAATACTTGATAATGCAGCTTGAAGCACATCAGAATGATGATGACTTTGACCCAGTTGAGATACTGGCAACAGGTTTCTTCTTGGACGCGCCCAAAGACGCACCCAGCGATGCCGAGCGTCGGTTTCGCGGCTTCAATCTGGAGAGGTTCACTGATGCCAGAGGGGAACTTCCATCGAAATATCGGAGTGACGTTGAAAGCCGTTATGACGATATGCGTGTCGTCCTGGAAGTCGACGGTACTATCGGGGCACTCAAGGGTGACTACCGCTGGCAGAAGTTCGTCATGCAGGCCGCCCGATGGATTCGCAAGAGGTGTGACGAGGTGAACAATGACTTGAAAGGCCAAATAAGCTCCATGGACATGCATGAGAGCTTCTATACCATTGCAAAGTCACGCCAAAGTATCAGCGGCACGCCGGCATTGTCCACTCCCAGCGGGCGCTTTTCTAATCGTCTATCCACGACTGAGAACACAGCACGGAGGTCTGCAACTACTTCAGGTACGCCACAGGTCTCGCAGCCTTCGTCGCAAGCAAGGCCTCCTGCGATCGCTTCTACAAATGCACAAAAGGTTGCAACACCCATGTCTGCTCAGAACCCGTTTCACACAGTTCCAGAGATTATTGAACCAGAGACAAGCGCGCCCAGAGTCGCTTCAGTCGCCCGCGATGTTGTGCCTCCTGCTGCAACAGAGGAGCCCTCTGAAACCAGGCCTCAGAAGAAGTTTCGCAAATAGTGAGTATCCTCAGCATTTACCCTTTGTCCATGCTAATCGAGGAAAGCCCCTTCAATAACCGAGACGCTATCGCCCGGATGGGTCAACGAAGACAGGAGCTTCGTCATTCCATTGATGCGTCAACCTCTCGCCGACAATCTGAGCCAGTCAGACCCAATGCTTCTGAAGTGGTAGATCAGTCTGCAGCCGACAGGCGACGGACTGTGTCTGCAATCCCACCTCGCCAGAGGTCAGCGGACCCAGCACCGCCCAGTGAGGTCCAGACTACCTTTGACGCTTCTCGCACGCTCGTAAATGATGAAACGCAGGTTAACGATGACACTGAGGCTTATGAGGATACGCAGCTGAATGATGGCAATGAGACACATGAAGAGACCCGGCTGAACGATGAACACACAACGGCCGAAGACACAGAACTTTTCGTATGCGACGAACCACTTGATATAAGTCAGCATACTGAGAACCATCCGGAGAGGTCCCATAGTCCTCCGATGAATCGGTCCGTCCCAAGACCCCGCAGGGAGACTGGGTCTACATTGGCGCCTCCTAGAATGGAAAACAACCTTTCGCTCCCCTCAAGCAGGGATGTCTGGAACATGGCGAATTCTCGGTCGCGGGCCACCCCAGAAGCCTCTAATAGCTCACGACCTGCGTTTATCGACCGCCAAGAAAATGCAGTGCGCGTTTCTCCGGTCAGCCAGACGTCGGGACCGAGAAGTGTGGAACGGAGACCTCGTGGACGGCCCCCCAAACGCAGACGTGAATCTGAGACTGTCTCTGAGAGCGAAGAGGAATATGATACTGATACCCGTGAAGTGGCCACGGAACGCCGGCGTGCCGAAAAGCCCGTGCAGGCGCGACAAAGCAAGCGCGCAAGGGTAGACAGCGGCCATGAAGGAGCCGGGGACGAGGCCCAGGTTCGACATCGGTCCAGGTCGCAGGAAGCTGCTGGTTCCCCGGTTCGTACGCAGACCCCTTCGCCGCAGGCAGAGAACCGCCAGGCGATGCCACCACCGGTACCTAAGCGGAGAACCAGAGGCTGGACAGATGCCGAAGATCGCCGGTTGATACGTTTGATCGAAGAGCATGGTGTTTCGTGGACGAAGATCGAAGACGAGAACACGATACAGCCTGAAAGGGAGGGAGAAGCCCGATTCGAAAATCGGAACCAGGTGCAAATAAAGGACCGTGCGAGGAACTTGAGGATTAAATTCCTTCGGTAAGTTTTCATTGCCTCTCCGATGTAGAAAATTCACTGATCAAGTTAGGGAGTCCCAACCGATCCCCAAGAACTTTGTAGACGTGACAATGAAGGGGGTGGACAAGAAGAAGCTCCGGGATCAAGGTATTGACCCAGACCGTAGGGAATAAAGTGGACACTGTCTATGAGTTCAGAGCAGGGGTTTTTGATGATGTTTCGTGACGATATGATTTATGATACCTTTGGGGCTTTCGGAAATTGTTGAGGCCTATTACTGGAGTCTGGTTTACGAACTATTGAATAATGCAGTGATTCTCCATAATGTATATTATGACTACTAATGGCCAATTCCACAGTTTCAGACTGTACCCAACAAACTTTACTATTGGGTGATTTCTATTCTCTCATTGCCTCGTTGAAAGTATCTTGATCAGCTAGCTTTGCATATCAGATGCGCGGCTACAAGCTAAGACTTCACTATTAGGCTTGTCTCAGACGAGATTATACATCAAATCTGATTGTACTGCACGTAGTAGTACTTTATATCCTGGGCTGCTCGGTGAACCGAAAAGCAGTGCTGGGCCGGACTTACAGCAGAGAGGAAAGTTCGATTTATGCAGTGAAAATAGTACACCGCTATGTAGGCAACTTTAGGAGACTTGGATATGAGAACGCAGTAGACTGGTAGATGGTACGTTGGGTGCAGGACTCCTATGATCTTTACATCCAATTAAACCACTAGTATCTTCCATGGTCACTTCTTCTTGGAAAAGGTAAGCTGAGTGATTACAGACTGACATGGACGATATCTACGAAAAGTACACACGACTTCACTTCTCAGAAGAAGGATTATTACCCAGCACAAAGTAACGACTACAATTTTAATTACCAGAAGAAAAAGCCCATGGATTCAATATTGATCAAGCCTTTGCATTCGCATAACAGCATAGGGAAACCTTCACCGGTAGGGAAAACCTAAGCCAAGACATGATGAAACAGGTAGGTGGTTGGATAGATCACTGCTGAATCTCAGAGAACATAGTAGCGTGTCTCATGGAACAAATTGTTGTAACTGTCCTCCATGCAAATCGTCTCGAGGGAGCCCTTAGCAGCCACACTTGCCGCAGCACTCTGGGATGTCAATATGAGTGTAGTGAGAAGCACCCCAGCAAGCCGAGCAGCAATCGCGGGCATCAGTGGTGTGGCACGTTTCGAGATGCTAGTTTAGTTATGAAGTTAGTATCCCTTCTCGGTGAATGAAGGCAATGATGTATACACCTCAGTTACTTACCTGGCGCTTTCCATGTGCAGACACTTCACCACCGCCTTTCGCGTGTTGAGCTGTGACGAGGGCAGCAAAGAGGGCCGTGAAAAGAACAGAGAACTTCATGGTGGCCGGAGATATGATTTGGTTGGCTTTTGGTTGAGTAACTGTATGAATGGAAAGGAGTCTTGAGTGTAGAGTGTAGAGAACAATGATCAAGAGCTGGGAGTATAACACCATTTATATAGCAAAGGCATCATAGAATAAGGCAACTAGTATATTGCCATCGACCCTCACCGTAATGAAGCCAGGTGTTGATCATTCAGATCGTTGCATATTATTAGATACTAGTGTTGGTCAGTAGCACATTCGGGCATTTCTACATGCAAGGAGACTTCTAGATCGGGTTCCGCAGATCGTGCTGAGCGATCATATTGCATGTCGGCTAATATAATTCAGTACGGGAAGCAGATCCGATCTCAAGGGACAGGGGGAATAACTGTTTGCCTGCTGCAGTATGATGTAGTGTAAGTGAGTTATGCTGAAACTCATAGATACATGCTTCTATTGGGGAGTAACAGTAGGACTAGTGCTAATTTAGGCAGTGGGTTCGGGTTGATTCACATGACGAGGCTGGACGTCATTTGCTGACATCCACCCGCCATGTTGAATTTATTTCCCTCCCAGTGCATCCCTAGCTCATCATGGGTCTGCGACGCAGCTGTGTCTTCTGTCGTACCCGGAAGATTCGATGTTCCGGTGAATCTATCTGCAGTGCCTGTCGGAAGCGCAACCTCAGCTGCGAATACAGTCCGGAAGCTCGAAAGGGACGGCCCGCGCAGAGAGGAACAACAACATCACAACCTCCGTTGGCGTCGCAACCACATGATAAAAATGGTAGCGATAACTTGTCGTTGCTGTCGGGGACACCCGCAGAGAATTTCTCGGCGTCTGACTCACAAACGCATGGACACGGGGAATCTGCAACAAGCTCCGATCTGAGTATTCATGTTGGCGATGAACTGGAGCGGAGATTCAATGCCTACTTTATCACGAAGACTGACTCGGGCTCCAATATCTTCCAAACTGCAATCGCTACCTACCAACGGGAGTTGGACAAGTCTCCTCGGAAAACCCCAATCCATTCAATACAGCTTCCCCTGAGCTATGATGGGTTGCTGTCCTTTATGGCGTCGGAGATGGTGGGTATCCTGCCGCTCCGCTTTAGTCACCTAGGAGTTCAGCAGTTGGAGGCTCCGAATCAAAACTTTTATGTATCAACCCTGGCAGCGGACACCACATGTACGATGTTTGACCCCCTTGAGTCTGCTGTAGATCCGTTGGTGGTGCTGGGGAAGCATCTGATTCTTCAATTGGTTGATGTGTGGTTTTCGGCCCATCCATTGTCACCTCTGGTGTCTAAAACACTTCTAGCAACAGCGATCCAAGATGATACAGTTGATAAAGCCCTTCTAGCAGTCATATTGGTTGATGCATGTGGTATACAGTCTATCGTGAGCGGGCTGCAGAAATGTGCCCCAATCGACCCCCAGACACTATACAGCTTTGCTATATTGCAGCTGAAGCAGCGCACAGTGGTGCTTGGACACCCCTCCGTTCTTTCTACAGCCCAGGCACTGTTTCTGGTGGGATGGAGGGAGTTGTGCCTCGGCCATGCCCGACGTGCCACCTGCTTCACAGGCTACGCCTGTCGCATAATTGCTACTTTGTACACCTTTTGGCAGGCTGGTGACCACAGAAAGTGTAGCAGAAAGCTCAACGGTGTGGATGTAGGTGCCGTCGAGCAAGAATTGGCACAGAATGTTTACTGGATCTGCCTGGCCACCACAACATGGGGGTTCATGCAAAGCAATCAGCCATTCTCGTTGCTCACTCCGGAAACGACGCCCGACTTCCCGTGCCTGGATGAGGGAGCTTCAGCTATCCTCCGCCTAGATCGTGCATCGGGAAACATCTCCACGCTACAGGCACAAATCCAGGCTACCCAGTGCTTGTGGCCACTCAGTCACATCACCAGTACAGTGGCCCATATCTACACCTTGTATCTCAATGCGCCTACAGTGAACAAGGAAAAGCAGGCTGTACCATGGCAGAAACAACACCTGCACGAGCTACATCAGCTTTTTCAGCCTTGCTTTGATCGATCTGTTCTGGCGTCGAGAATGCATAGGATCCTTCTCAATGCTATCGAGCTGGTGAAGAACGAGGTCACCGTCGCATCGTCACGGTCTTTTCTATTGACTGCATACCATAGTATTGCTATTCATATGCTCTTCTCTGGAGACAAGAATGATCAAAAGCGGCCGGCGATCTCGCCATCTGTCATCGATCCATTCTGCCAGTCGGCTTCAGCGCTCCTTACAATTCTTCAACAAAGGCCTTCCAGATTGGCAAATTTGATGCCTACAAAAGAGTTTCGAAGCGTTGATGAATCTAGTATAATGCTGTATGCTTTGGACACTTGCAGCAGGGGATTTTCGTACATATATGCGCAACATGAGCATAGCTCGATCGAGGAGCGCAATGTGATTAGTCACCAACAAAGCCAGCTAGCCCATCTTGCCAATCAGCTGCATGAAGCCTGTAAAGGGGATGTAATTTCCCGGCTTGGAGCAGCTATACTGCCGGTGAAGAAGAGATTGAAGCGTGCGAAGCAAGCCTTCGAACAGCTTGGATCATCCGCCATTCCCCAATCAGCGCTGCTTTCCAGTCAGAACGCGCAGACCCCATCGAGTAACTCGTCTGCCGCAAATGACCCTCTAATGGATCCAGGGCTCAACATTGGCCAGATGGCAGATCCGTCTCTTGCTCCAGATGGCTCCGAGTCTTTACCACTCATGGCAATTGATCAGACCTTGTCGCTCTCTGAGAACCCTTGTGAGATATACGATCCAGGCTTCTTCCTCGATGGCCCGGTCACAGGGTCACTTCTAGGGTTCCCTGGCCTTGCCAAGATGAACATGCAACTTCAGGATTACGTATCTCTGGAAAGCGACCTGGATCAAGATGCGCTTGCTTTCTTGAGTCAAGGCACGAGTGGCATTTCCTTTGATGAATTGAACGTTCAGAGCGCTGATACCAACCCTTCGGACCCTCAACACAGTGATTTCCTATGATAACTTAATATGATAGCACTTGCCTTCACTATTGTTCAGCTCATCAAACATCAATGTGTATCTCGTACATTCATGAAACCAGGGCATCGAACTATCAATCAACTCACAGAATCATGATACCAGCTCATGCCTCGCCCCATTGACTTCCAACTCAACTGGCGGTCGCTGCGTCTTCACCATGGGTGCAGGGTACCCTTGCTCCACCGCCAGGTTGCCATCAACACTACCACCGGATCTCTGCATCCGTTTCCTCTCCTTCCTCTCCCAAAACGCCCACACAAGCGAAGCGCCCGCAATGACGCCCAGAGGGACCCCAACTCCAACACCAATGGCTGTATCCCGCCCCGCGGAAGACGAGGAGGAAGACGAGGAGGCTGAAGAAGATGCCACTGAGGCCGACGAGTTGGACGAAGTACACGTACTATTCCCCGACGATGCATCCGCTGTAGAGTTCGCAAGCGCCGCATACCCATACAGCATCTTCCCTGTAGCAACCTCAAACGAGTTCCCATGCGGACAAATCACCTCACTGCCGTTGCTTATCGGAGTACCGCAGCAATACGTCGAGACGCCATTCTCATACAGGAGATTTATTATCGAGCAACCGCCGTCTTTGTTGATATCCTCTACCCAGTATAAAAGCGCAAAGGGTTAGCATTATCCCCCATTCATTATTATTTACCAGTGCACTACTCAAAGAAGCACCAGAAGTATCATGTATGTACGTACGACAAACAGACGGACAATTATCCGACTCCCAGTTCGGATCCGTACACGCCCCCCGGGACAGAACATACGGCTGTTCCCCCGTATCCATGCAGAGATTATTCGATAAACAGACGTCGGACTTTCCACAACATGCGGTATACGTGTCTGACGAGCAGGGAACGTTATTGCTTGCGATGGTGCCGTCAGGGAAGTAGCATGTCGCTGTTGCACTGCTTGTCGGGGTGCATGTTGCGAAGAGGAAGAGGAGGATCGCAGTCGCGCGGATTCCTCTGACAATCATATTGAAAGGCAAAATAGGGCGGCAGGATGAGAACCACGTTCTATACTAATAAATCAAAGCAATAGAATCCAGATATCCATCAATCCATCTAGAAAGAGAAAGAGAGGGGGGGGGGGGGAGGAAATAAAAACACGAAGTTACTCGTGTCCCTAGGACACTTCTGTCCGAGAGAGAGCGAAAGAAGGAAAGAAAAAAAAGAACACAAACGGGCGCGCACCGCATTGCGAACCCAGCTAAACATAAGTAAAGGCTGGCAGGCAGCTAATAATACCTCCTGCGTTGCGGGAGACATAAAACCCCATAAGATGACTGGCTATCGACTACGTTCAGGCCTTCCAGTATTTTCTTTCTTTCTTCAGAGCCTTGCAGGTAGAAAGTGGGGGCGGATTGCAGGGCTGGTCAGACAGATACCTCCTATTATCTTTGTATCAGTGCTGTTAAGGGGGAGGGGAAGGAAGGGCTGACGAATGAATGGGCTGTGGATTGGGGGCCGGGGGTTCTCACTCACCGACTTTACCTATGTATGGCGTCGGTGCTCTCGTATTCGATATCTACTGCGTAGATACTAAATAGATCGTTGGTACATTAGATTTTATCTAGTCTGTATAGGAAGTAGTGAGTTGCTTAGCCTCAGTGATCCTGCGGACTACTGTTGCTTGGTTCTTATCTGATGGGGTAATTATCTCCGATGGAGATGAGTTGTGGTAATTATTTAGGGCCGATGGCGTTATTTGTGGAGTGTAATTTCGAAAGAAATAGTGAAATAGAGTATAGCTAAATAGTAACAGAAATAGGGATATCTTAAACAAACGAATGTGACTATCACTAAGAAATTAGCTTACTGCTCAGCAGATCTTAAAAGTACATGTCGCATCGAACCCGCGATTTTTCCCAGCCTATTATAGGTATGTACCTTATATCAATCAATGCCTAGCCCCGCATCCATACCGTGCATCCGTAGCTATATATCTATACAAGATGATCTTCCCCTCATGGGCCGACGTTACTATATCTATACTCCAAAAGATAGAATGTAGAATGTAGAAAGAGATATCTACAGTCCGAGCGCAACAACTGCCGCCATAACCACACCCCCGATCATCCCACTAGCAGGAGCACCGGCGACAGCAGCAGCAGCAGCAGCACCTGCACTAGTTGATGGGCTCGCGGCAGCCGAGCCACTGCTCGCCGCTCCGGACGCAGTAGCGGTTGCAGACGCAGAAGCAGACGAGGCAGCAACAACCATCGACGAGGCCGCAGCAGCACCAGTAGCAGGGACAGTGACGCCCGTCATGGACGGTGCGGTAAGGATTACGCTCGGGACAGTAGACTTGGCTGCACCTCCGTCTGCAGCGGAGCTGGCGATGGGGATACCGGTCTCCACCATGGTAGGGTTGACTTTCATGGTATCAGGGGAGGAGTTGGAGGATCCCGAGGACGAGTCGGAGTCATCGGACTCTGGGGCAATCACGATGCCGTTCTCGACGTTATCGGTGGATTCACGTTTCAGTTCTGTGACAAGTTTGTCGTCGCTGGTGGACTCCGAGACAGTGGTGGAGTTGTTGGTTAGCCATGCATTGGCGCCGCCGCCTATAGTGCAGTATGTATTAGTCTATGATCGTTGAAGGCGGTAGATGAGGGCGTAACGGAGGTATACGTACAAGTTTCAGAAGGGAATCCCGAGCAAGGGGTCTGGCATTGGGTGGAAGAGACCTTCGCTGTTGAAGGAGGCAGGGAGTCGCCGCAGTAGCATTCGTCGCCATTGTGGAGGGCAAAGACGGGCTTGTTTTGCTTCGTGCAGATTTGCTGGCAGTAGCCCTCGGATTGGAATTGATATGTGCCCGCCGAGGTTAGCTGGCCGGCACTGCTATAGCAACCTGCGGTGGTGTAGGCAGAAGCGGTAGTGAGGAAGGAGAGGATTGAAAGGGAAAAGATCTTGGTAGCACTGGCTTTAGGCATTTTGAAGAACAATGAAAGAATGGAAGTTGTAAAGCTGTTTCCTTTTTGGTTTTTTTTTTGATGAACGAGAGTGAATTTTGTATGTATGTATGTAGGAGTAGTTATATACCGGCAGGAAACGGCAGAAAGTAATAAAAGAACGAACTGAAACAACTGATATCAGCAAAACTCACTGGCAGGCATAACCTAAATATGATCCATCCGATTATCCCATCGTTCAGGATGGGGTTGGCACCCGACCCAACCCCTTGGGATTTTGGAACACCCGAAGTTGACACAAAAATCGGCGTGTGAAACGCAGTAGAATGCCGATCTGAAGATCGCGTGAACGAACGCCCATCTGATTCTCCGGATTCCAAAATGGTTCGCTCGGCTCCACGTCCCGCGCGTTATGGCCGATCCCTTGCTGTCTTGGGGGCGATGTTTCATCATTGTTCCTGTCGAGTTGACGGTGTTGGTCTTGGGAGGACCCATTTGAGTGGCTACAAGCCTCCGCAATGCGGATACACCGTTCGCCAGGTACCCGAGCGAGGGATGTTGTTTGTTCCGGTGATGTAACGATCGTCGCACTATTGCTTTCTGAGACCACCACGCGGCCGACTATCGATTGTCAGACTCTTTTGGCCCTGTGGATGTCGTCAGGCTGGGGAGCCCCTGTGGAGAGGAGGATGACGTTCATGGTCTGCGACAAATTTTATTTGTTAGATGAGGCTGTGTCTTGGTCGGACTGGGGCTACCTAGATAGTAAGTAGTAGTATTCTTAGCATCTTCAGTGGTGGATGCTCGCTTGTTGTTTGTTTTGTTCCTGACCCATGGAACCAAAGTCGGGAGGCAGAGTTGGCAGGCAGAATGGAGAAATGGATTAAAAGGGAGCCATGTTGAAGCTGCTGCATTGTACTTTTTCGCCTCGTTTGGTGCCGATCACGAGACTGGCACCTGATACTCCCAATTCTCCCTCCCCCTTTTGGCCTCACACTATCTTGTCTCCCTTGACATTCTTATAGTTCTTATTTAGTTGCACTCGCTCTGCTTTAGCGTCAGCCACTCCGCTAATTTGCTTCTGTCAGTGTTCGATTCTCCCGCATAAATCACCGGCCATGTTAAGCGCCGATCATCCACAAGCTTGATCGCGCCACTGAGATGCACTGACATCTGCAGAACTTGTTGCAGACAGTCTCATGGCCAATGTTGCTGTGTCGACCAGTTCTCATGTTTGACAATTGATACAATCCCCTACAATGGCAGGGGTGAAGTCCCGGACTGGTGAAATCCGCCAGGCAATGTTATGTTGACTGCCAATGTTGCCGACCGACGATAATATGCAACAAGTGAACGAAAGGGGTGTTGCTATTGGCAATCCTTGTGAGACTAATGACTAACATTGCATCCCTTGATTTGTCACCTTTACGCAGGAGAGATCGCTGCTGGACGGGTTCGGCCGATGCTATGCTGAGGGTTCATTGATGACATTGTGGTGGAAAATAATCCATTATTGAGGTCTTGCTGGTCCATCAATGTGTGGACTTAATGTCGCTGCAATTGCAAGTCAATTCCAATGCCTTCATTCAGCTCTCCGCTATATACCCAAATCCAATGCATCACAGAACCCGTTACTGCATGCTATCATCCTGCTCCAGCTTGCTTACCGCACTTTCATCTCGCCTGCCTCGACCTTCCTGCTATGGCAATTCTTTCCCCAGCTGAGCGGTTCCGTCCGCTCTCCGACCGGCAAACTTATCAACCCGAGCGATACGGAGAGGGGAAAGGCTATCACGGCAATGATTGCGCAACTCTGCGATAAGATAACCCCATGCTTTGACGTAGCCTCGGCCTTGCCCTTCTCATTATTATCCTCCGATTCCCCCAGGGTTCCTATCTTCTGCAGAAAGTGCCCCAGGAATGGAATTGAAGATGTCCAAGTTCCAATTGCTTCCCCTCGTCGCAGGGCTGCTTGCCCCTTCGATTGCAGCCCTCAGCATCCCTTCCCCGCAGCAAATCCTCGATTCTCTTACTTTCGGAGAGCACACCGACGGCTTCTGTCCACTAGCACCCAAGGTTGAGGTCCCGGACGACGGATTCTTCCCAGCTCTCAAGTTCGTAGAAGATGCCTCGTTCAAGTCGCGTCAAGTCAATCGTCTCTCCAGGGCCGTCCAGGTCCCGACCGCAATCGACGATTACATGAAGGACCCCTACGACGAGAAGTTCGCCCCATTCCTCGACTTCCAGAACCTCCTAAAGACCCTCTTTCCCCTCACGTACGTCTCCAGTCCCCATCCACACACAACCCCATCTAACACAATCCAGCCACTCCTACGCCCGCGTAGATCACATCAACCGATTCGGTCTCGTCTTCACCCTCAATGGCACAGACGACTCGCTCAAGCCCCTGCTCTTCACCGCGCACCAGGACGTCGTACCCATCAACGACCCCGCCGACTGGACCTATCCCCCCTTCGATGGCCACTTCGACGGCGAATGGCTCTGGGGCCGCGGTGCCAGCGACTGCAAGAACGTCCTGATCGGGCTGATGTCCGTCGTCGAAGACCTACTCTCCCAGAACTGGACTCCAACCCGCACCGTCGTCCTAGCCTTCGGCTTCGACGAAGAATCCCACGGCTTCCTCGGCGCCGGATCCATCGCCAAATTCCTCGAGAAGAAATACGGCCCGGACAGCTTCGCCTTCATCCTCGACGAAGGCGGCATGGGCCTCGAAGTCCTCGACGACACCTCCAACGGCGTCGTCTACGCCCTCCCGGGCGTCGGCGAAAAGGGTAGCATCGACGTAGTCCTCACCCTCGCCGTCCCAGGCGGCCACAGCTCCGTGCCCCCTCCGCACACAGGAATCGGCATCATCTCCGAAATCATCTACGAGCTCGAACGCCAGGACCTCTTCGTCCCCGTCCTCGACACCCACCACCCCACCCGCAAAATGCTCGAATGCCAAGTCCGCCACTCCCCCTCGCAAGTCGAGCCCTGGCTCGCCTCCGCCCTCCAATCCAGCGACTACGTCTCTCTCGCAGAGAAGCTGGCCTCCTCGCGCGGCGACAAGTTCCGCTTCATCCTCCAAACCTCCCAAGCAGCAGACATCATCAACGGCGGCGTCAAATCCAACGCTCTCCCCGAGAAAATCAGCGCCCTCGTCAACTACCGTATCGCGTTGCACCAAACCCCAGATGATATCAAGAACCGCGCTGTAGATATGATCTCCCCCATCGTGCAGAAATATAACCTCTCCCTCACGGCCTTCCCCGAAAGCGATACCGTCGACCCCTCCCTCAACAACCACCTCACCCTCACTACCCTGAGCGGCGCTCTCAGCCCCGCCCCAGTCAGTCCAACGGACACCGACACCGACGCCGTCTGGGCCCGGTTCTCGGGCGTCACTCGCTCCGTGTTCGAGTCTGTCCCGAGTCTCGAGGGCAGGAAGGTTGTCGTCAGCGGAGATATCATGACCGGAAATACCGATACGAGATTCTATTGGCCCTTGTCGAGGAATATTTATAGGTGGAGTCCGTCGAGAGCGGGTAAGGCGGTGAATATTCATACTGTGGATGAGAGGATCGATATTGATATTCATCTGGAGGCGATGATGCTGTATTATGGTATGTATATTCCCTCTTTTTTTTCTTTCTATGGGTAGTTGTTTGTGATGAGTGGGTGGGTTGAACTGACATGTGTTATAGATCTTATTCGCTCTTTCGACGGATGGGATGATTCGTCTGTTGTGGATGCTGTTGTTGCGGATGATGATGATGAACTTGCTCATGATGTGCTGTGAGTTTAGTTACTCGCACTCTAGGATACTTCAGGCTTGGTATGGGTATGGGTATGGATGAATGATGATTATGGATTATGTGGTGACTTGCGCCAAAAGTTCATGTCCTTTCCTGGAGTTCAATAAAGTCCAGATCTGTTTCCATGAATAGCTCCATTTATAGTCAAATGCAGTTAACTATGTGTTTATCTACCGATCTGAGGTTACACAGTAAGAGCCAAGTAGGAAAGAGAATTAAGTAATATTTGCAGCTTCCTAAGAAGATAATTATGTACTCGACGATTGTCCAATGCACTCACTGTAAACCCCCTTCTCCCCGTAATACCCATAGAGGAAGTTTGAACGAAAGTGGCAAGAAGACGGGGAGGGGGGCAATATCCCTGCTTGAAGCAATATATAACAATAATAACAATGAAGAGCTCAATATAAATGTATAACGAGTGACCTGCACATCGAATGGCTAAAGAAGAAGAATGGAACGGTTCCACTGAACCAAGCAGGGGGATATTATGCACAGATGCAAGGATGAAGTCGGAATGAAACGAGAGAAGTGGTTTAGTTGCCTTGGTTGAGGAGGAGCAAGGCAAAGGCACCGCCCACGACGGGGCGGTCGATGAAGACGTTGGATGGGTATCTATCATTGATAGGTCAGCTGATTGAAATCAAAGTGGGTTGTTGGTTCTTGCTTACCCTCCGCCAACTGCATCGTAGAGATCAGTCATTGCGTAGTTTGTGGGCGTGTCGTTGATCCATTTCGAGAGAAGCTGCGTGAACATGTCCCGCGTGCTGGTTGATGCGATGGCCGCAGTGAACATTTCCCAGTCGGCTAGTAGAACAGGTTAATAAGTGAACACCATGGTAGGGCTGTGTCAAGCTTACCCTTTGTGTAATTGTGTCTAGTGTCGAGCGGTACTCCGTACTCTAGTTGGACAGTGGGGTAGAAGGTGCTCTGCATGTCGTAGATAGATTGTGGAACCAAGTTTAGGCCCAGCTCCCTATCGGCATAGAGGTTGTATAGGAGACCTAGTGAATTGTCAGTATACGTACTCTGGAATTATTGGGATAGAACATACCGTGGGTGTTGTTGGAGCCATAAGCAAGCGTCGCATGAGGAGGGTTGGCATCGTGCGCGACACCCAGAATCTGCCATCGGTCGATGTAGTTATGGGCAATGGCAGTGTAGTTGGCCCCATTATCAGTGTGATCAGTCTCATTGCTAATAACAGCCATGGCTTCGATACCGATGATGCCTTTCAAAGCCAAGTTGGTCTGGTTTCTATACCTGTTGTTAGCATCTAATATCACAGAGCGGGGTTCTGCACGTACGCTAAGCTGCCTGCAAAGTCATCCGTCGAGATTTGGTTGGCAGGGTAGATTGCATCCTCCACAAGGTACGCCGTCCACTGGTTGAGCAAGGTATAATGCTGAGAGAGGTAAGCCGTGTCGCTCGCCTTCTGCGCATATGCCAAGGCCATGATGACCATGTTGCCACATTCTTCCAGTGGCATTGCCTCATCATCGCCCTTAGGATGACCAGTAGCGTTGGGATAGTGGCTCCCTACATCATGCATGGCGTATGCGTTGGGGTAGTTGCCAGACTCCTGAATTTCGAAAAGTGGCTTCAACAACAGATTGAGAAGCTCGGGGTTCGTGTATAAGAAGATGGGGTGTGCCGGGAAAATGACGTCGACCGTGTTCACGTTTCCATCCGACGAGATTTCCTTCATGAACAGGTAGGTGTTGTCCGGGGTTCCGCACAGTTGGGTTGCGCCAAAAGCTTGACGGACCGTGAGAGAAGTGATCGTCAGGTAGTCCTGTCCAGCTGCGGCAATGGAATCCTGGGCTACTTGAGTATCAAGATCGGACGAGAGCGAAGAGGACGTTGCATAGTCATTATGGAAGAAGTCCAGCTGGAAGCGGCATTAGTATAGCCCTAGCAACCTTATCTTGTGGGACTTACAGCTTCCGGGCCCGTGCTGAAATAACTGGTCCACAGCGAAGGTAGAATAGTGGAACCACTGCTACTTCCTTCGTACTGAATTGCGTCGGTCTGGGCAAGACCGATAGAGTATAGAACTGAAGCTGCGGAGTCCACAGATCCAAGGTCATGAGCAAATGCGAAAATAGGCCAGTCGGTAGAAATGGCACGGTAGTCAGAGTCCTGCGAGTCGCCTAGCGTTCCATTCGCAGCAAATGCCGCGCGGACATCAACAGCTCCACCGGACTGGTAGGTCAGGTTTTCGCTGTTGTCTGTGGCCCAGTACCAGTCTCCCCATTCTCCCTGGTCGCTGATCTCGGAGAAAGCGAGCTGGGTTTGGCGGCTGACTTTGTGATAGGCGACACCGTTATCGGTGGTACCATAATCCCATGTTGCGGTCGTGGTTCGGTCTCCCGACACCCATTCTATACAAGTAGGTTAGACCCAGCCCAACCGTTGCTACGCAAATGTATCTCCTGTCAGTAGGGCAACAACTCACCCGCCGAAATATCTGCGTACAGCTGCACATCGTGGGCCGCGCCATCGAGAGACTCAACCTGCACATCGACATAGGAGAACACGAGCGACTGCCGTTTGTAATCGTTTGGTGTAATCGGCGAAAGGAATGTAATGTTCATCTCCACTTTGTCGGCCACATTCATGGTGAAAATACTCTTCGTAGAGGTGTACTCATAGGAGGTTTGTGTCACAGTTTCCGGTCCAGGGATTCCCATCCAGGTGTACGCACTGCCATCAACACGAATCATACCAGCCCAGCCAGTGACCTGGCCACTATTCCAGCAGCATTGTTAGCTATTATTTCACTCCAGATCACACACCATCATTATGAGTACTTACGACCAGAAAATCGGCCATTCACCCGCAAGATACCCACCATTACCTCCATCGCTCCCTGCGGACAGCCAAGTGCTCAAGTACGGCGACTTTACAGCCAGCGGTATCGCAGGTGGCCGGGCAGGCGAGAAACTAGAGGTAGCCCTGGCCGAAGCGGCCAGCACCGTAACCAATAAACTTATGAAGAACTGATACATTGTGAAATTTGACTGCAAGACAATCAACAGGCACACATAGTCCTTTATAGCAGTACTTCTTTTGTTATGCCCCACAGGAAAGGCAATGTCAAAACACTTAAGGTTCCGCAGAATGAGATAGGTAACTCCTGGAATGGGGACTGGAATGTCAGGCACAGTCTTAGGGCGTAGACAATCGATTCAGCATTCCGGGAAAGAATGAGGGAATGGGGGCATATTTGAATCAAAAGCAACAACCCTGATCGTCAGGAGATTCCAGTCAAAAACAAAACATCCCCAAGTTCTCGAAGACGGCACGGAACTGCGCGATAAGAAATTACCTCCCCCCAGCGTCGTCTGACCTGTCAGTCTCCGAGTGGACAGGACCCATGCGGTCTGCATCCATATGTCCGAGAAAAGCAAAGAGGTTATTCATGGAAGAAAGGGGGGGCCGGTATGGGAGGGGGGCGTGGCTGAGTGTGATCAAATCTTACCAAGAAGTCTTTGATTAAGGTATGTGGTCTCGCGGAGCCATTTCCCATACACAACGCTGCGTTTGCAGGACAGCCTCGGGCCAAAAGCAAATAACTCGGCCAAGAAGAGGATCAATGGGTCAAAGCAAGACGCCACTAGCTCGAGCAATATACTTGTTCTAAAATCCAGGTGAGCCCATGGATTGGGGCCCTAAGGAGCGCAGATGAACTAAACAATGTCAAACCCGGCCCCATGGTCTTTACAAGCGGCACGAGATTGCATATGACTACTTACTGAAAGCGGATATGACCGAGTGACAATATCATGAGTTCCGCGCCAGCAATAACGATAGATTAACCGAGGAAACAGGTGACATGGCTTTTGACCGAAGTTATGACGGCGGAGATATGAAGTGGATGCGGCCGGCAAGAGAGTGAAACAACTGACAAACAACTTTGTGGAAGACACATACACATCCTCCATGTGAAAAGGAGACCGTCTCAAAACGGCAGGAAGTAACATGGCGTTGGTGCCAATCGATCCTCCCACCGAATAAGAGTTCTTACGGTGTCTCCTGCAGAACTCTGAATTGCTGCATTCGGAGGGTAAATCATATATAGTATTGTGGCCATCGAAAGTCAACCCCCGGAGTCGATCAGTCACCGCCAGACCGGTTATCCCAACGAAGCCAGATACTGCTCATATCGATCGCAAGTCCCACGACACTTCCCAGCAAGGGGAGGAAAGTAAAGCCAAACGGCCAGCATCGGGGTGGACTCAAAAAAACCTACAGTACAGCGGGTGAACAAGCAGAATAAACTGGAGCCCCGTCAGTGTGACCGACATTTGTGATGGCATCATGTGAGAACAGTCGATACCTCGGGGTTTCCCCCTCATTCCCCTGCGTCCAGGAACCATGAAGTCCACCAGTCAGAGAGGGGGGTACAGGGAAGAAGTGCGCATGGCTGCAGTGTGACTGCGCTCGACCAGTGAGCATCGACCATGGCTGGTGAAGATGTGGAGATGAGGGAGAGAGAGAGATTTGGAGATGGACGCCTTGACCTCCTCGGGGATCGGATGGCGGCAGGCTGACCGACGCGGAGTTCTCGCCGTGTCTTCCTCCCTCACCAGCTAACTAACTGGACTATTCTACTATCAGTAAGATTATTATTATTCCCTGCTCAAGATCCCAGATCGTGTTCCACCGAAGAAATGATCCGTCATCTCGCCAATGCAGGTACCAGGCAACAATAAGTCCAGTCCAGTCCACTTTGCTTTTTGTTGCTGTTCTATTTTCAACTGTTCCTTTTTTTGCGCCCGATCTTTGCCACAGGGGACTGACTGACTGCTAAGTAGTTAATGCAACTCGATCAATAACCAGCGTGATGTTCTTGCAGAGCATTGAGACATGCACACACTAGTATATACTGCACCATGTGTCTCACAGACAAGACATCAGTAGTAACCTGCACGAAGCGCAGAACAGCTTCAAGTCGACAAAAAAGAAGAAAAAAACAATCCAAGACACCGCTCCCACCTCGGTCAACAATGAACTATAGATAGTTACAGTCAGGGGTAGGTGGTATTCCAGGAACAACAATGGCTTGGTTGTTTGCTTGTTTGATTGTTCATTTCCACAGGGTCAAACTCCTCCGATCCATGGATTGATTGCAAAACCCGACCCACTAACAATGATCCGAACTGACATAGTATAATAAAATAAAGCATAGTCACTGTAGTAAAAGCAAAGACACACTAGCTAATTGCTAGTAGATATCCACTCTCAAAGTTTCTCTTCAGCTAAACAAATAATAGATAAATATCCTATAATCACCAGAAACCATTCTACTACTAATGCAACTCATCACTAGTAATGATGTCTCAAGCTACAAAGACCAAGCAAAAAACTAGCTTCACTAACTTCTATTGCTGCATGATGTATTGCATATTCTATTATCTATTAGATACAAAGTCAATGATGTACTAAGGGAGATACTACTAAGTAAGTTGTAGATAACAGATAGTCCGAAGAACTCCGATCGCGCCATTGCTCTCACTCATTGCGTTTCGTGAACTAAAGAATATTATCGGGGCTAAATTGCATACCTTTCATTTCATCGACATGCGTGGGAAACTCTTCTTCTTACTCATTAGAACCATCTATCTATCGAGAATCTCATAATGTCCCTCCTCTTATCTATTTAGACCGACCAAACAAACAAAGAGCCCGTGATGGAATCTAAACACATGCAAAGGTACATATCTATATACAAGAATCATGCAACTATACTAACATTTACAGAAATGAAAAGTCTCTTTTTTTCGTTGGCTTCATGAATCTCTAATCAGAAGAAGCATTATTCCTCAATGGCGTCTCCTCCATAGGAAAACTCTCCTCCGAAGGCACATGCCGATACGGCTGCAAGCGCTGGATTCTTCTCCTCCGAAGGACCCAGAATGCGCCCAGAAGAACTCCCGCGAAGGACGAGACAACCAGGATGAAGATAAGCAGATTCCCGAGGCCACGCACAACCTGATACGCTTGAGACAGCGCCGCAAGGAGGTCCTTGGTGTCACCATTTGACAAGGCAGAGGAGTGGTCCTCGCCCGCCTGGGCTTCCTTGTAAATACTCGACGGGTTGATCGGGGAAGGAGCCTTCGATGAACCTACGAAGCCAGCGGCCTCCCAGTTATCGGGAGCCTTAGTGCGATGCACGGCCGAGGTACCCATCACGTTGCCCTGGTGGTCGACAGCCGCAGCAGACACCCAGTCGAGGAAGCCGTGGGCGATGAACATGGTCTCGAAGTCGGTCTTGGAGACGTTGCCGATCAGCACAGGGGCTCCGCCGTCATATGCCTGGGCGTAGAAGTTCCAGGCGGCTACATCGGTGGCACCGTTCCAGCTGACATGGACGATCGTGGTCAGGTCGTCTTCGGTCGTACCGTATACGGATGCTACTAGATCGGGCGGCGCGCGAGGCCGGCCGGTGAACTCGTACTTGTATGCGCGGTAGGTCGAGAAGCGGTCCGATGCGAACCGGGCGGTCATCAAGACTTTTCCCTCTGGAGAGAATTCGCTCTGGTAGCCTGACTGGCTCCAGCCAACGAAGACGTTGCCGTTGGGGAGGAGTTGGGTATTGCCGCGGAGTCGGGAGAGCTGGCCATCAGGACGGTTGTAGCGTGCGATCAATCGGGCGGTCATCGGGTTGGCAGTCGTGTCCAGCTCGACGAATAGGGCCGACGATATGGTCTCGTCGGTGGTGATCTCGTCGGAGGCGTTGTTCAGGAACGAAATGATATGGTGCGTCCCGTTCGACGAGACGAATTTGACATCATGCTGCTTGGAGAAGACAAAGTCCTGGACGAAATTGGTTTCGCGCCCACCCAGTCGCCACATCACGCGCCCATCTACGCCGGAAATCATATAGATGGTATCGGTGAAGCGCATCGAGATGATGTAGTCGCCAGCCTCATTTTTATCGACTGCATTCATATGCACCGAGTCGAATCCCCATGGACCCATAGGCTCCTCCCAGGTGTGAAAGCGGTCGGTCTCATGCAAGCCCAGGTGATCGGAAGAGTCCCATTCAAACAGCGGTGCACCAGTAGCCAGATCCAACTCTGCAAATCCACCCGTCAGGAAAAGCTTCTGTTCCCCCGGACGGCCCACATCAGCCATGTCCAGCATTTTCGACTGGTAGACACAGGCCAGGGCTGTTTTGCCTCCATCCATGACTTTAAACTCGTGGACATTGAATTCCCAAGTATCGTTGAGCTTGAAGACCTCCGACTCCACCTCATAATGCTGACTCAAAATAAGACCGCTTCCAAGGACAGTTTCATCGAAGGTCCGTTGCGCAATCAGGGACAAGTGAGGTTTATCGTCGATATTGTGCACCGCTTTGAAGTCGAAGGTGTTTCGGTTATCGAACATGGGGGATCCGGCCCAGATGAGAACCTGATCGCCGCGATTGAGTTAGTCATGTTGACGAATCGACCGATTCAAAAAAGTCGGTGGAGGGGGTAGAGTCTTACGCCATCTTGGTCATAGATATAGGGTCCGACCTGATACTGCAGATACTTGCGAGTCGGAGATTCCGGATCGATCATGCCATAGGGAGCAACAAACCAGTAACCCGGTGCGGCGCGGTCCCGGTCATGGTGAGTGATTTCCCATTTCAGGGCCCGAACTTCGGGGAGCTGAGGCGATCATCATGAGCACGAGAGCAACACATGCATTACTTGAGCCGCTGAAAAAGAAATTGCAAAACTTACTGTCACAAAGGACATGAGATCCTCATCGTGGCGCTGCGCAAAAGTGAATTGCAAAAAGAGCAAGGCGAACAGACACCAAATCATGGTTCGGGCGGAGAGTGATAATGAACCCTCCCAGCAAAGCAAAAACCCAACGAGCGGAGGAGGGACAGGCCAGGGGCGGAGAAGGTAAGAGGAAGGGGAGGAGGAGGAAAGTGAGAAGAGAGAAAAAGGAAAACCCGATCAGCCATGGCGCAGGAAATCATGAAAGGCTGATTTGCAGATACACGCGCCTTATACGGATTGGAGAGTCCCAACCCACGCCGCGGGCCCAGATAGATAGTCTCGTCGTTCGACTGGGGCACCCCGAAGATCGGCATAGGTCTTCCAAACACCCGTCCAAACACACCCACCACTCTTGCCATCGGTCAGGACTCAGGAGAGGGAAGATGGAACCAGGAGAGAGAGAGAGCGCGCTAAACATGTTCGCACCCACGCAATCTTGGGACGGGCGATCCAATAGGGCAGAGCTGACTGACGGCTAATGTTGCCTGCGATGCCGCGCCCACCACTAGAGAGGCCCGGTGGCTTGGGTTTGATCTCGGCGCAGTGGACAAGAATAGCATGGCTGGACTGCTTACGTAGGCCGGCTTGCCCTGTAAGGAGTCAACTATCGGGCCATGTTCTGTAGGTAGATAACTAGGCAGACAGAGAGAAAGGGGAGTTGACTATATTCCGAGTCATTAAGGGTCTGGGAGAGGAAGGGTGTGACAGGGTCTTTCTTCATTCCTCATCTTCTTCCCGCTCGGTCGCGGCGGGTCCGCTGCTTGGCTTGTCTGTCCCGCCTCTCTCCCCTTCAGATCTCAGATCCATCCAGGAGGAATAAAACTCTCTCAATTCTATACATAAATACTAAAATAGTAGGAAGATACTTTATGATGGTCTTAGATAAATACTCAGGGATCACCGAAACCATTGATTATCATTGGCTAACTATACTAGATTCAGAGTCAACTCCTGATGTATCGGGGCTAACCAAAATCTGACCCTGTTGAGGGACTCTGGAGATGCTGCTAGACTCTCTAGCCGGTGGTTAGGGGGTCACTAGTCAGTTTGGGCCCCAAACCCACGGTGGATTCGCTAATCTTTCAGTCCAGCCGCATCGCTCGCCTCATCCCCCCAATCCAAGAAGAGTAGTAGGTATTGTGGTTTTCTTGATACTTGATGGTAAACATTCTAGCCTCCAATATCTCCCGGATGCACATTCACCGCATTGTTATCATTTGCGTCGTCATCATTATCTTGATCATCATGGTCGTTATCATTAGTTGAAACACTCATGCCAAAAATATCATCATACTGTTCCTCTAGCCATCGTGGATTATGAACTCCACATGACGTCGATACCCCCTCTCTTTACCTCTCTGTGAGTGAGTGAGTGAGTGAGTGAGTGGTAGTGAGAGAGATCTAGTAATCCCGAGTAGCCAAGACTTTCGAACTGCGCGCCAACTCGATACAAAACTCCGCCCAGTCGCTCTCACCGCTGCTGGTCAACACCTCTTCCTTGATGGCCGATTCCAGGCGCTGCCCGTATCGCTGCTTGAAGTCATCCTTCACGCGCTCCAGGTGCCGCGGTTCCCAGTGCAGCCGGACCAGGCGCGAGATCAGTAGGTCTGACCGGTCCTTCCCCGGGCGGGACTCGCGAAGGGCTTGGTGGAGGAGCTGAGCATCGCGCATCGGCCGGTTGATGGCTCCATTGAGAATATGCGCAAGAGTCTCTCCCTAAATCTCGGTTAGTCCATTGACAATGTTTGAAAACAATGACTCCTTCGGAAACATACCACCAGGTTTCGGGACTTGCTAATCATGGCTTTGGCAAAATTGTGGCCGTATCTCTTTTCATACGCACGGAGGACCTCTCGCAAATGCGAATCACTCCGCCGCACAATGATGTAGATCATGGGCGTTTCTCCCCCATGTTGTGTCATTAGTGCGGCATACAAGTTGTGCACGTCTTCATCCACCAGACGCATATCAATTGGGTCACGCTCGCTCTGTCGGCTCTCTTCCAGGACAAGGAGCACCGCCGTGCGGAATTTGTCTCCTTTCAACTCGGCCTTCATACACCTCTCCAAACTGTCTTTATATCGTGAATCTGAGAAGCCCTTCTTGATCTCGCGGATCTCTCGGTTAGTGCGACCAAACAGACATTCGATGAGGAGTTCACGCCTAGAGTTGCCCAGCTGGTAAAAGCAATTCGCCCAGAAGCCTTCGGATTCCCAGCGACCAAGAGCGGTGGCGTGGCACGCCTTGCCAAACGCATCGACTCCAACCCTAAGTTTGATGAGCTTGGCGATATTGATTCCCTTCCCATGCAGTTTGTTATGTCTTTTGAACTCGTCGCGGAGTTCCATGATTTCGTCTGCACTCAAACGCGGCAGTATGCGGATCAGGGCCTTTCTATCGGGATGCCGTGGCCGTTCCAGGGCATCGTGAAGCGCTGCGGCATCCGGACCCGCATCATAGAATGACACGCGTTTCTGGCTGCGACTGGGGGTTCTCACCACGACATTCTCAAGTTCCCCAGAAGCACGGTGTTCGTACCGCACGCGGCTGCTCTCCCTCTTTCGGCTGCTCTCCCGCTTTGGGCGTTCGACTGTCAATTTCGCACGCTCCCGATCATCCTTGGATTTCTTCCGTCTATGTACCCTGAGTTCTTCATCCGAATCATACTCAAGAGGCTCCATATCGGAAATATCACCATCCAGCCTGGGGGCAATGACAATCGGTGATGGCATGGGTGATATGCTCTGATACGTGCCTTTGTATGGCTCCAGCATTGGACTGGCAGGTCTGCCGGTAGGGTCGGGGCCCTCGACCGTAAGGTTATTGACAGAAGATACGGAGCGGCTGTGAGGACGCGTGGTGGTCCGAGGCGCTATTTCAACATACTCCATCCTATTGCCTGAGCTGGTGGCAGGCACTTTAGAGAATTGAGGGTTAGCAGAATATCTGACATCGGCAACCTGTGGCTGTTTGGCTGCAGTAGCTCCGGTTTTGGTGGAGAATTGAGGTGTTGTCGAGTATGCGACCGGCTTGACTGTGCTATCTGCTGCGCTCTTAGAAGCATATTTAACATTTGGATCTATGTGCGCGTATTGGTACTGAGGCGGGGCAGCGTAGGGTGTCTTGACAGTCGCGTCAGTCGAAGCAGTGCGCTGATGTGCCGAAGCCGCATGAGTGTAGGCGTTGCCCCCAGGCATCGACAGTGGACGGCCATTAAACGATGAATAAGTCTCCTGCAAGCCCTGTGGAGTCACGTAGCGTACGGAGGAAGTAGGGGCGGCTGCGGTTGTAGCAGGTACAGAGGGCTCAGTGGTTGCAGGATACGGAAATGCCCCGGGCATGGATGGAGCTTGCGCCTGAGAAGTTGGCGGCACGAAGCCCGGTCGCTCACACTCTGGGACCGGTGCCCAGTTGGCCTGAGCTGTGGATGATGCAGGATAGCCGCCGTAGGGGGAAGGCTCGGGACTGGCGAAACCACCTCTGATTTCTTCTCTCGAAGGTGTGTGAGAGTGCGACGGCCTGCTGGCGTGGGCTGCATCGCTATTAAGAGCCCCGGACATCATAGCAGGATCCTTGCGACGTGCAGAACCAAGCTTAGGCATATAACGCTTGAGACCTGAGATTCCGTATGTTTTGTTGTCGCGGCTCCCGGGAAGATCACCGTATGCAAGCGCATCATCATCCTCCGAACTCAGCGAGTCGAGCGAAGACTCACTTTCGTAGTGAACAGATAGACGATGGCGTGAATTGCGCGGCCCGGCGTCACGCCTTGTCCCTTTGCTTTCTCCCGAATCGGATTGATAATAATGATCGCGGCCGAGTTCGGGTCGCAGATAGGCTTCCCGTCCATCAGACTGGAAATCGGGACCAGCAGCGCCATACCGCGAGCTAGTCCGATGAGCGCCGCCAGGGCTTACACCTCTGCTACGTGATCGAGCACGGAGCTTTCCATCATTGAGGCCAGAGGTGTAATAACTGCGGGGATCACCGGCGGACGGATCGCGATAATCGCGAGACTTGGAACGCTCGCGGATACGGCCGCTTGGGGACTTGGAACGGCCTCGCGACCATGGGTCGTCCACCTGGAGCGACATGGATCAAGGCTGGGGAATGAACCACCACGGGTAGGTGAAGTGCGACAAGTGCGACAGCCGATCGCCCACACAAGAAGAGCCAAGATATGATGCAGACTAGGAACTAGCTTTGCACGGAGGACACGGTTCTCAGGTTACCGTTGAGAGCGTAGGTTAGCTTGATAGGCGTGAATGGAGACGGAAAAGAAGAGCGCAAGACAGAAGGAAGAGAGGAAGAGGAAGAAGAAGTGAAGAAGAAAGAGTGGCACTGCCTGTGGGAGGAAGCGGCCAAGAGCAGCAGATGGTGGTAGGAGGGAGACACAGCAACTGATCATCGGCGGGATCGCGTACTAGAGTTCAGCTGGGGAAATTGGCCCAGTCGGGGTTTCAAGCAAGCAGTTTATGTGTAGTGGGACTGCAGGATAAGGGCACGGAGCTTTGTCATTGGTGTGCCGGGACATCAGTGAATCAATCCTCAACTGAAAGATTCGCTACTGTACTTTCCCATTCCAATCCTTCATTCGAGGCAACCAACGCCCTCTGGACGGAGCCGCACACTGTTCTGTGTGCACTGTACAGTATTAGTCCTCTGCAGCCTTGCGAGCGCAACGCCGGCCCACTGGGCGCGATATTATTGTGCGACAGATATCCACTGGTCTCACGAATGACGGCCGAGAAAGCTTGGGGTCCAGAATCCACATTCCTGCCGGCCAGACCGTGAGTCAAACCGCCCCTCTTTACGTCGCTCTAGCGCTCGTATACTCTCCGCCGGCAGCTGGACGAACCCCTCGCGCAACGAAGCGTCATTGGTCGTCTCGTACTCAGCTTGGCCGATCCCGCCATCTTTAGCCTGCAGGAAAGTCTTGCAAGGTGCAGCATCCTGGCATGGCGCTGAATTAGCTGGCCGACGCTGTCCACCGGTTCTAAATCTACTGGTGGTTCATTCAGATGACTGACCATTGGAAAATCAGGCAATCAATCTTTGATGCTTCCTGACTACGGGAGGACTGGCCTTCCGGGCTCCGACTAAGCTGGGAGTGGATGATCTGTTCTTCCTTCATAGGTAGATGACTGATCGACAGAACAGTTCATACAGATAAAGCTGAGCAGTGCATAAGGCAAGCGGCGACGCCGTTGGCAAATAAGAGCTGGTTCAACGTCTACAACAGCATCAGCCGGGGTTCCTGGCCAATGGACCAAAATAGGATGTTTGGGACACGAAGCATGGCCCAGCAACAAGGACCGAAGGATATCAAAGGCTGAATAGTAACTCTTTAATCATGGCAAATGGCCGAAGAGAATATGGAGAATACATGAAGATGGAAGATAAGATGTAAACAACGGTCAGAAAGTTAAAGTGCGGGAGAAGAAGCATAAAAGAAAAAGAGTAACTTGGCCAACTCAGCCAGATACTGTGTTGGGCACACAAGATCGGGCTTGTGCAGATGTGGAGGCACTAAAACACCAAGTTTGATATCACAGGCATGTAGAAATGGAAGCATAATCTCGCGGTAGTTCATCAGAAAGAAGAAAAGACAAAGTCAATCAATTCAGTACAATTGCACAAATACATAGGAAATCGGGTGTTTCTCTCAACTATGCTCGAAGGCAAATGAGAAACAGAAAATACAATGTCCAAGTCAGGCGACTTCGGAATAAGTAAAAACACAACATGCTGAGACGCTTCGCTCATGAGTTCCGGGGCCCATTCAAGGCAGATAAGGGGTATCTTTTCTTTCCATATTAATGGCACTTTTGGCCAAGGTTCCCAACATTTCTCCGCAAGAGGGCTTGGGCAGTCAATGAGACAAGTCGGCATTAACGTCATTAGTCAAAAACTACACAGTATCCCTCCGGGTCCAGGACGGTACACGGTCGCGACCGCGAGCAGCAGGTAACAAGAAGGGTCGAAATTAGTCCACACGAACAGAAAGAAGAGAAGGTTCGCAAAACAAGATATGCTATGCTGAAGGGGGTATTGAATGATGACCGGCTGCAAGTCATTAGCGGAACCGGCGCACATCCGGACCAGTTCTCCCCGCATACAGCTTCTTCTGGGGTGCAGCGCTGGCCACAGCAACATTACGGTTCAAGCGGCTGGTTCTCCACCTCTCATACCAGACCACACGGCTCGCTTCGCGGAGGTCAGAGCGCCATTCGTTAAATACGGCCTCTTTCAGCTTGAGGAAATCACAGTGCTCGGCGTTGTACGGGTCAGCGAACCCCCAGGCAAACTTGCGCCCAACAGGCTCGTCGCCAGCCCTAAGCGAATGTGGATCAGGAGACAAGATGGTGAAAGGAATATGCTGAACGACGGCTTGGGAACCGGAAGACTTGCGCGTGTCCTGGCTGCGCTGGGAGGGAGAACGTGGAGACCGGGCCTCTGCACCTTCCTCGTTCGCAGCGCTGGCCTCCGCATCCTGTTCGGTATCTTGACCTTGCGCCTCCTCGTCCTCATCATCGCTCTCAGAAGATGTGTACTCTTCCTGGTCGTCCAAAGAAAGGATCTCCAGCGGGTCAATATTGGCTTTCTTCAAGCTATCCCAGACAGCCTTCCTGAGGTACGCCATGTGGGCTGTGGTGATCGTATCGGCCTTGCTGATAACTGGAACAACGGTGGTCTTGCCCACTATGGTTCGCAGGACCTGAACATCAAGACGCTCGTCAAGAACGCCAATGACAGGTGTATCGGTTGCCCTTGGGGTTCCCTGCGCAGCCCGCTCTGCAGCCGCTATATTCTGGTCCAAGCGGACTGGATCCAGGATCAAAAAGGTGCAATGGATATGGGTGTCGCGAGCTCCAGGTGACCGAACAACCTTCATTTCCTCACTTAGCGTTTCCTCGAACTTACTTTCCAGGAACCCAGTCACCCCTCGTAGCTGGATGTCAACGATGTTCTTCTCCAGGCCTTGAGAGTCCCAGAGGGTCAGACCGACTCGTTCGCCGTCGATCTCTGTCTCCAGATAGTGGGAAACGTAGCCCTCATTGGCCGGGGATTGGCGAGCCTGATATGCGATTTCCTCTGGCAAACGGGAGGGGTGCTTATGCGGCGGCAATTCCAAGGACTTCTTGAGGAAATTGAGAAACGAGGTCTTGCCCGAGTTACTTGCGCCGACAACAAGGACACTAGAAGCACATGAGAATTTGACCCCACCGAGCGATTGACTGTAGAGAATGCGACTTACTTGTACGGGGTGGGATCCTTGCGCCGACGCAGCCGACGCGGATTGTTGACGGTACTAACGGCACTGCTTGCGTAGCTATAGCGTCCACGGTGTGTCATGCTCTCTGCTCGTGCATAGGCGTCGCTCGGCTCCGGGGCAACTGGCGTGCTTATCGTACTGCGGGGCACAGCTTGCTGCTGAGATGAGTCGGGCTGGCTTGCAAGTGCAGCAACAGTGTCCCGGCGCTCATCGCCGCCAAAGGTCTCAAGAACTGGGGCCGGCGAGAGATCAGGTAGACGCGGGGGTTGTTGATACATCATTGACTCGCGCTGGCGGCGAGCTTCTTCTTCCGCCGTCTGAGCCTTCGGCATCTTCTTTCCGTTCTTGCTTCCGGACGAGCGTCTTTCGCCTAAGATTTCAATGGACTTGGAGCGACGAAGAAAACCCAAAGAAGATGTCCGGCGTTGGTCTTTGGTGTCCGTGACGACAGGAGGGACTTCTGCGGAAGGCTGAGTCCGACCCGGGGTCCGGGGTGCTGGTGAAGCGGTTGCCATTGGTTTTTATTATGGGCGGGCTCTTCCCTACCCTTATCACTCACTGGCTGTAACACAAATTGGGGGGGATTTGCCAAAGAAAAGTGGGGACACAGGGAATGAATCGTGTCTCAGATATAGACGCAACTCTTCTTTTTCGTCCCAGAGGATCAGTTAGTTTAGTGTACCCGGGGGTTCTTCTTGGGTTCGATCTTGAATAGGAAGGCCCAGAACGCGTTCAATTGATTTAAACCACCCTAGCCCAAAAGACAAACGAAGTCAGTCCCAACTCATGAACAACAATCGGAACTTGACTCCATCAAGACTGAGCTAATGATTGTGCGGTCTTGCGGGATTGTTGAAAGATCATAATATCATTTCGGGTTGTATGATCAACGTACCAAACTTACACGCTTATTCTGGAACCAGTCGCGTGTTCCTCCTTTTTGTCCAGGTGTAGCACAACTGCCTCGACAAGTGAATCGATCCTCGATCAAGCAAGAGAATAAATACTCGACCAAAGTTAGAGTGTCGGTGACCAAAGATGCAATTAAAAAACGACACGGCTCTTCAGTGATCACAAAATCGACATGCACAAGCCCAGCAAGCAATTGTCGATCTTAACCCACGTCGCCTGTAGAGAAGCAGCGGGGCTTTAATGGAAAGAACAAACGGGGTTTTAAGTCTGTCTGTCTGTCCTTTTTGACTCACGATCCTACCAGGGAGAGTTGAGGAGAAGCCTGCTCACAGCGTCCGACTAAGGCGGCGCATACAATTGCGATAAGATCAAATAATATCAGAAGAAGAGAAGGATGAAGAGGGTGGGAACAGAAAGAAACGGCACAAAAAGGATGACGGCGCTGGAGGGCAGATGATGATCGACCAGTGAGAACGGAGAACAGGCAATGCTTTCCTGTCACCGAACCGACTCGTTGCGCAAACAAAAAGACCCAATTGACTTGACCTCTCACTTTCCTGTCACTGTTCGTTGGGAGTCTCAGAGCTTGCTGAGTTCTCCGATACCCTTTTGTTGGTGTTGTTGTTGTTATTGTTTCTTTTTTTTTATTTTTTTATGCTTTTCTTTTTTGAGGCGAATGTTGTTTTTCGTTATTCCTTTTTTTCGCTCTTCTATAATTTCTTTTTGTCGCTGCACCTCGTCGTCTCGTTCAGGCGGAGAAGCAGCTCGGGAAGCTTTTTTGGAGCTGGATGAAATTCAGGGGCAAAACGGCAGCCAGCAGGGGAGCTCGACCTTTCCCATTCTCCCCCACTCAGCACGCTCTCCGAATGTATTAGGTTGCTACTTAGGTTGCTTCTAACTCCCGACTTGGTCTAGGGCCGGACGGCTAAGCTGGAAAGTTTGGCTCGCACACTGGAGGGGCAGCCCGTTTAGCGATTTCAGTCCACGTCTCTCCAATGCAGTACGACACTCGTGTGCGTTGGTATAACCGGGGGGGTCATAGGGGAGGGGGGGCGAGGTCAGCTTATTTGGAATGATATCTGCATCATATCTCTTCTCTGCTTTGTTTCGGTTGGAATGCTAACACCTTACGGAAAATACCAAGGGCAGTCTGGAAAGAAAAAAGGCCGATCAAAATCCACTGTACCGACGGAGAAGGTCCAGATGGAGGAGGGAGCCACAACTGCCTGAATAATGAATGATCTTCCCCAACACCCATATCTCAACGCTCGTGCAGTAAGTAACTAACTACTTCCCTTAACGGAGTCAGCCAGAATTGGGGTAGTTAGTTAGATAACTACTCGGTGGTCTAGAAGTTAGACCGGAACCAATTCAGTAGTGTCTAGCCGATAGACACGGATTGGATACATTTCTCATGCTGGATCAGGCGGTGATCAAAACTCCATCCACACGTGGGTACTCCGTGCTATCGACTGTCATCCCATCCCTTGAGTCCACCACCAGATTCTGGTTGCATATGGCATGCAACCATTCCTACTGTCGTCACTCTGCGATCATATCTCCTGTCCCAGCATGCCGATCAGACTTTGTCCGACTGCTTTAAAATACAACAGATAATCACTCACACAGAGATATAGTAAGTATCCTATCAAAAAAGGGGCGACAGGAACAGTTCGGCATTTCGGTTCTTCCCGATACCTCTAGACAGCAAAACAGCAAAACAGACAAGACAGAGACACACACAAAACCGCCCCTTTTCTTAGTGCGGGGAGGCAACCCCCCAATCCAGTATAGTCGGAAAACCTTACGTGGTCGGGTAATAATATTACTTGTTATTAAACGATTACTGGCAGCCCAGCAATGAGCAATCAGCTTACTCCCTCCCAAATTTGCCCATGTTCCCGTGCTCATCCGCCTGCTCGTGCCGGTCAGCCCCTGAGTTATTAGAGGTTGCTGTCGGACCACTCCCTATCAGGAACAGCGAAAACCAATAACTAGGGAGTAAGCATGGCCTACAGTAAATACTACCTGATAGAAGAACATCCCTAGGCCATTCTACCATAAGCTTCTGTAATACAGACTAGCTGACTTGAGTCCCAATTTGCGTTCTATCTAGTCAGTATTCCCTCTTGCCCTGCAGTGGGAATGTGAATCTGGACTAAATGCAGCAAAAAGCAGCCGTAATCAAAACATCAGATGATCAATCTCCCAAGAGGCTGACTTGAAAACACACACACACACACACACACACACACACACACAGAACAATCTAATCCACAATCCCACACAGTGGTGTATACCCTGTCTTACAAAAGTACTCCGTCCTGTATCCCGATCTCCACATTTATCCACTCCCCTCTCTCTGTCCCCTCCCCATTCTCAACGGTTTATGCCATTCTACCCTGCACTGTATCCAATCGACAAAAATGGTATGTATAAACAAAAAGAAAAGAAAAGAAAAAAAGAAAAACTACCACTCTCTCTCCATCATCTCACCATCCTCATCATCCCAAATACGGAAAGGCAGCACGACGCAAGGACTATCCGGACAAACAGTCGACCTGACAAGGTGTTTGAATTTAGGCCCATTCGGGCCCGCACTGTATTTCGCTTGTCCAAAGAGCTCCGGTCCCCCCGGCAATGCGTCGTCTCCCCACTGCCCATTGAACTCTAGCCAGTTGGCTGGATATCTACGGTCGTAGGGCTGGAATGTCTGGCTGGCTGCGTCGAAGCTATATGCGTATGCGTTTGCGATGGGATCCCATAGGGTTCCTCTGTCTGTGTAGTCCATAACAAAACCGAAGGGGAGGTTGAGGTGGGGGATGGCGTGGTCATGGGTGCTATGTATTTCATTAGGTTAACATATGTTGTTTTAGTTATGGTTGTTTTTTCTGGGTAAGGCCGATATTATAATGCTCTCTAGGGGCAGTTCGTACGTACCCAGGTACTGCATATACGGCATGAGAGCCATTAGCGGAGTATGCGATCGGTCTTTTGCCTTGCTTCTCTGTTGCGTCGTAGGTGAAGGCTTCACCTCCAGCATGTTGGCTGTACCAGATTGCTTGTGGAACTCCGTTATCAAAGCGAATCATGTTGTGCTCCCTAGGGATATCAGTTGGGATTTGATGTAAAAAGGTTTAGAGGTATTGCGCACCAGTCACCGACGTGGTCTCCAAACTGCATTCCCAATACTGTGTTTCCCATATTGTACCTTTCATATATTCAGCATGGGCTGTAGCTTGCTCTCAGCACTACGGATCACTTACGCATAGAAGTAGAAGTAGAACGCATCTACTGTCCCATTTCCATGATCACGAGTGATTATAGTCGATGAGACAGCCCCATTCGTCTTTCCATTTGTATCTGGCCTCACTCCACGAAACCATGCTGGCTCTGGAGTAGCATCGATGCCCTCTATTGAGGTAAGGTAGACGCTGGTGTTTCCCAACTTGTTGAGTTCCGCGAGGTTATTGAGTGTTAACGGTGATGGTGCTCCTTTGATTGAAGTATAATTCACCATTGGTATCGTGTGTACAAGCTGCTGTCCGATATCCGAAGGCATGTATGTTTCCTTGCTATATAGCCAGACGAGTGGTGCTGGATATGACTTAGAACAGTGGCCTTAGTAGATATCCTAGAACTTGCTTACCATAGTCCATTACATAGCATGGCAAAGCGGTTGATGTCAGATTGTAGGCCACCATTGTCTCGTTGGGCTTGGTCATTGACAGGCGTAACTGCAGCACAGTGGAGAATAACTGCACTAGAAAAGTCCACATGTTGACGGGTCAACCGTCATTGATTTCTCTGTCAAGAAGTGTAACTTAATGTAGAGAGAGCTGTTTCCACTATAGAAGGCGCAAGTGCAGATAACGTACAGCAGGGTTGTCCCGAACTGTAGCCAGCAGCGTATTAGCGATGTTATATTGCAGAGGTGCATATCAGGTGTAGAAAATATGAGACCTGCCACACGGTGTGGTACAGCCTGCAAGCCAATGCCTATCTGACCTTCTGACACTTCCATGTCGAGGGTCATTGCTGGGCATGGATTCTGTTCCACCCTCACTGGTAAGGCTAGTCCGGGGATTGTGGCAGGTGATGGGCCAGAAGAAGGCAAATCATTGCTTTTTCCTTAGCCCCGTGTCAAGTACGGAGTACTGGCTGCAGAAACAGATGTGGCCGTCTCCTCGCCCACCTGCGATCTTCATTGCAGGGGTAGTCCCAGGGTCCGAAGCATTCTGCAGCGATATTGGTTGCGAATGAGTTGTTTTGCGATAAGCATGATTTGGAGTGGTGCATCTGATGGGCCCTTGTTTGGGATCATAGATGAATGTGATCGTCCGGTCACACTCTGCTCCTGCCAGGTCCCGTGATGCTGTCTGTAACCAGTCAAGTATGCGCTTTTCAACCCATGCCAAATTCCTTGCTTCTCAAAACATACAGGCATATACCACCTCACCGAGGGGGGTTATTTGGGTGCATCATGCATGGAACGGCGCATAGTTCATGAAATGTTTTGTTAGCCTTATGAATACCCCTCGCTCGCTCAGGTCTAGAGAATGCTCATATGCTAACATGTTATTGGATATCATAAACAGACAAGCCTTCTTAGCGCCCATTCCGGGTTCAAATTGTCAAAGTCAACCAAGTCAATACGACTGACTACATAGAAGCCAACACCATCCCGAAGTGAGCACGGATCAACAGAGAACCGAAATCATAACTTCTCTTCTGCAGCCGCCTTCTTCTCCGCCTCAAGCTCCTTTCTCTTCTGTGCCTCTTTCATCAACTTGAATAACCGTAAATCGAGAGGTATTCTTTCACCCAGCCAAGTAGCACGTTGGGTGTGATTACGCTCTTCCTCGGTTTCCACCGTATTCGGATGGATCAATGCACTCAAGGGTCCCCGATTGACAACAAGCCAGGGCACAAAGGCACCAAATTGTGCAGGAGTGAAAAGGTTAACTTCGAACATGGCCACTGGATGAGGCCCTATCGGCCTGTCGAAGAACTGGTAGATTCGTAACTCGGGAACTACTCAAGTCAGTATTGTTACTACACGAGTATTAAACCGCTATTTTAGCAAGGGGATAATACTCACATTCACGCCTGATCCTCTCCCACAGGGCTCTTGCAAAAGCGACCTGATCTGGATTGTTCTTTGATGATGCAAAGTCAGACAGGGAACTATGACGCCCAGTACACAAGTATCCACCAACCTGGAAGTGATAGATATGAATATCGAAGCCCCCACGACGACCCTTGGTGAGAGGGTCCGGGAACTCCTCGTATGCCTTACTCAGAATCCCATGTTGGGGGTTTCTTAAGGACTTTCCATCCTCGTTTCTTTCTCTGTACCATGACACGGGTTAGGCTCAGCGCGTAGAACAATATATAATCCATTCATCTATCTGAATCGAAATTTCACCTTACTTACTCAGATAGCGGTTCTAGGTTCTCATATCCCTCTAACGGTGAGGGATACGAATATGCAAACTGGTCCGTCATTTGAGCTCAGGCGTCGTCGGAGGTACACAAATAAGATGTGCCTGCTCCGCGTGTGGAAGACTGCTTCAAGACAGTAATCTGATCAACTACTGCTTTAACCTGCCTTTAACACAATCTGCAGCGTACGGTCGATAATCCTCTAACACTCTAGATGTTGTCTGATAGTAAATGCAGTAGTATTCTCAAGCAGAACGATGGTAAGAAAATCAGCTGCTATCCGAGTCCATATCCGACAGTGCTACCAAGTTCCGCCATCGGATAGCGGCGACAACATATACCAATCAACTATGACCAGAAAGACCCCCAATACGTCTGTCTAATATCTTACCAATCAAGTCTTGGACTGTGCCACAAAGAACGTCGGGTCTTATCCACTCATTGTTACCAGCGATGAGGCCATTCTCAGGTGATTATGCAACAGTATTGCGATATTCCGCACTTATGACAAAAGTGCGGAACTGGGTGAGGGGCTTGTCTTGGCGTGTAGACCCGTTGTTTTGTGCCTGAGGAAAATAGAGTTTTATGGGGGAGCAGTATACTATAGAGTAATAGGGGGAAAAAAAGAAAAAAGAAGCTTTTATTTATGTTTCTATTCGAGGAATGTTGGGCTTTAAGTCGGCATTATTGTAAGATGCATCGCTGCTTTCACTTAGAGTGGTTGGTATGCAGCTTGAGAATCCTTCGGGATTCAAATATATTTTCCTAGCGTTCTGATAAAGGCCTGGATTTATTCAGACCACACCCCACAGCTGATTTAATCTATAGTGATTACTAGTACTACAGGCTAATTAGAGATTGAAGAACAGATACAAGCTACTGGCCCGTATCAGAGGATATCATTGTAAGAAAGTAATCTATATAACGCTAGGGAGCTGTGATTCACAGTATGATAGATATGTAAAGGCCCCCAAGACCAACTGATATCACCAGGAAGCTTTAACGTCAATATGCCCATCCTGATCAACAAACTTGCCCCGATCCCACTCTCGCCCCTCACCCTTCTTAGACCACTTCACATCCTCTAGCCTGCCTTCTGAATCATCCCCTGGCGTGGAGGTAGTGTTGCTCTTCCAACGGTCCACAAATTCGTTACTGAAGCCAGCTTCCCGCAACCTCTCCTCGCCCCTCTGCTTCCATTTTGCCCGATCACGCAACGCCTCCAGAGAAAGCTCCCAGTCGTCATCTCCAGTCATTAGACCAGCGACAGGACGGCGGGTAGGCCTGCTACCTGCCTGCCCATCATCATCCTCCAAATGTACATCCGTAGTGGGGTCGTAGTCAGGGGCGAAGTGTGCATCGATGTTGCTCATGTTGGGTTTATAGGCACCGCGACCGCGGGAACGAATGGGCGCTGAATACCCATGATCGTTGTCTTTCGCCGGTAGGGGTCCGACAAGGTCTTCAAGAGGATCCGACTCATCATCCAAAGGCGTTTCCTCCTTGAATTGTGCCTGAGTAAACGTTTGTTCTTTGCTTGTCGATGTACTATTTCTTCTAGACGGTTCCTTATCACGAGAACTGCGGTGACCCCTGCGGTCGCTATCTCTAGTCCCGCGCCTGTCAGATGCTCCTGGGGACCGCGAACGTGATCGTGACGACTCATGGCGGTTGCGATATCGTCGGCGATGGCTGCGAGAATCAACATCCCGGCCGCGTTCCGGGGATCGACTCCTTGAACGAGAATCAGATCGGTGGCGACGACTCCTTCTCGAGGATCTATGCCGGTCGTCATCGGTATCTTGAGGGTCACGCCTCCGTCGGCTCCTATGCGATTGGCCTCTCTCCTCCGATGCAGAGCAACTCCTATGTTTCCTTCGACTAGAGCCATATCTGTCCTCACGATCCCGTCTTCTATCACGTCGCGACTCTCGATCGGTTGACGTACGCCGACTGCGACGTTGATCGCGATTCGTATCGTTCGCTGAAGAGGATGACGCCTGGTTCCGCAACTGTCGCATTCGCTCCCTGGCCTCCCGTTCTTCTTTCCGTTTCAATGCTGTATTGTGATTGTCCGTCTCTCGGATTATATGTCGGAGGAATCGTGTGTTCGGTTTAGGAGCGGCGCCTGTAGGCCTGCAGCAATAAATTGTCAGCTCAATGATCGTCGTAAAGTATTCGCCAGAGGAAGTATATACCTTTTGGGCATGTATGCTTCCAATCCATGTGCCGAGTATTTCAGGGAGCTATCCCGTGCTTCTCGTGCGAGCACCTGTGCAACGTAGGCATCGTCGCTGGGGTCGCCGATTGCTTTTCCGGTGTTGGGAGGCATGCTGTCGGACCGTGGGACTGGAGCAAAGGTGGGAGAGTAAAAGTAGGAAAGTTAAAGTATTTATATCATATTAATATATAACGCCCATCCGGTAATTGTATCATCCAATTCGAAAGTGAATATATAGAGAGAAAGGAAAGCGCGGCCAAGTCTACAAATGTGGGAGGCAAGAGCCATACATGCGGCGATATTGACGCTGCTGACCGGTGACTTCACCGCCCGGCTGATAAAGTGGTGGGTCCGATGAATCTGTTTACCTCCGCAATGTTTTTGCCGACGCGCGATAATGAATGGTTTTTGCCTTCACCCCTCATCCCATTGATTCGAAGACGCCATAGATCCAACCTTACACTGCCATTGAAATTGTCTATATTGGGTTATTGAGGGATTTTACAGATTTAGCAAGGATACAATGGCCAGTTTAACACCCGCAGAAGCACGAAAGCAACTGCAGCAACTAACAGACGACAATGGCGACTTGAAAACACAATTGAACATCCTCCGCATCAGCGAGCCGATCTTCTCTCCTGACTCTGATACCAGGCGCTCATCACCATCTAAGCGTAGGTCAGATGTATCTACCTTTGAAACACCGACACCTGCTTCCTTGGAAGCGGACTTGACACACTATAAAGTATGAACAAATTCTCCCGAAGTGGGGTCGCTCTATAAGACCACCTATTCGTGCTGACAATACTCGGAAAGGAATTGTTCTCGAAGTTACGCTTTTCCTACGTTGAGCAAGTTACGAAGGAGAAATTTCTGCGTGCGATTGTGGGCGATCCGCCTCTGGTGGTCGGTCACAATGAAAATGTTGAAATGGAAGCGCAGTTGGCGGAAGTAAAGGCGGACCTCAAGGCTCGCAAAGAAGAAGTCCGAACTATGGTGGAGGAGATGGAGAAGCTGGGTAGGGATCTGGCGAATCGTAAGTACTCCCTTGTCTTCTGTACAGTAATGACTTATGTCCGTGGAGTTTCGCTTCGTGACCATATCAACGACTGTCCTAACGATGGAAAATCTTTAAACAGGTTACAAGAATGTCCAGCTACAAATGACCCAACTCTCAACACTTCCAGAGTCGATTGGAAACCTCGAATCCACTGTTGCCGAGCTACGTGCAAAACAAGGATCAGACGCAAACGGCCCAGAATCGCAAAACCTCCCCCTTCCTGCAACGCTGAGTCTCCTGTCTGAGCGGGAGGCGGAGCTTGCGGCTCTTGATCGACAACTTGCTGCAGTGCAGAATACCCTGCCCCGCAAGACACGAGAGGCCGAGGCGGTGGAGCGTGAATTGGGTGTTCTAGAACGGCGGAAGACAGAAGCGATCGCACAGGCCCAAGAGGTTAAGAGAAAGAAGGAGGAAGGCGAAAGTGACGGGCTGGTGGAGACGGGAAGATGGTACCGGAGCGCGGAAGAAACTCTCAAAAACCTTCTAGGTGTTACAGGATGAGGGCACCAGGCGTGGGCATGACTTGACGATACTGGGTCTAGGGACATGGCGTTTGCGGTGGATAAGCCATACATGATTACTTCGGTGTTCAGTGCTCAGGGATTACTACGACTAGGGAACCAAAAGGTATGGGAATCGAGCCGTAGGCTACTAGTTCATTAATGGAATCGCATGATCGTACAACGTTATACGCTATGCTGCAGCCATAACGGAGCCCCGTGATTTTATTTTGGCTAACGAAACCCGTCCGTACTCCAATTTTTAATCCTTTACTCCTCGTCCTCCTCAGCCTCGTCGTCACCACCACCGGCAGCAGCGGCAGCCTTCTTGCGCTGGACACGGCCAGGGCGGCCACCACCGTAGGGGGAGGTAAGGGCGAAGTCGATGTGCTTCTGGGAATCCAGGCGGACCATGTAGGAGGGGACGTTGACGATCTGCTTGCCGACACTATTTTGAAGGTTAGTAACTTGGCGTCCTTGGGCCAAAGAGTTATCGGTTGCGCATACCGGATGTGACGCTGCTTGATCAGGACACGGGCGTGGTGGATGGACTTGGCAAGACCGAGCTTGTAGACGCAAGTCTGAAGACGACGCTCCAAGAAGTCCTCAACGCGGAGGGCCAGGACGTAATCGAGCTTCATGCGAGACTCATCGAGGACACCGATGCGGACCAGACGGCGAATCAAAGCGTTACCTTCGAAAAGACGCTTGGGGTCCTTCTCGTCGAGGGTGAGAAGCTCACTGTTCCAACAGTCAGCCATTGTTCCATCACCTTCTCTTGGCCATTCTCAAAGTCGATGATCCATGCGAAGTGGGGTGCGCATACCGAGCAGCACGACGAATCTTGGACAGGGTGAGCTGGACACGCCACACCTCACGCTTGTTGCGCAGGCCGTACTCGCCGACAATCTTCAGTTCCGAGTCACTAGCGATGACAGTTAGGCATGGGAACACACGACTTAAACAGAAGCACGCTTCTGATCAGTGGCCGGAGAGTACTAACAGACGGGCCGACTCGAAAGCTATATCAACATGTTAGTATAAATTCCATGTCGCAAAGTTATCGAATTTTTGCAAAGACTGATAAGGCTACTTACGACGACGGGGGACCTTGTAGGTCTTGGAGTAAACGCGGCTGTTGAGAAAATTGCCATTAGAATGATGCGATACAGGTGTAGCTGATCGCTGGTCGTATACTCACGGGACGGGGGCCATGACTGCTGATTTCGGCTTGTCGCGAGGTTGTCGTACACACCAAACTTCACGAAAATCGCGGAAGATCTGAAGTTGAAGATGCGTTTTGGAGAAGGGAACTAAGCGAGCGAAGGTGGAGCCGGAAGCGGACTAGCGCAAGGGCTAGCCCTCGGCGGCGGAGAACGGCCGCACTAAGCACCCGAGAAGTCTACACCATCGCGAAGGGCGGCATAGCGAGGCATTTCTTCGACGTCGACAAGTTCTCAACACCAGCACCACCAACACCGCCGACATGGGTCACTCGCACGGTTTGAGAGCCGGTACTCGGGTATGTCGATTTTACCCAGGAAATTTTGCAGCACCATTGCGCTGGCCCGAAACGCGACCGCTGACGAACTTTTCAGTATGCCTTCAGCCGTAACTTCAAGGAGAACGGCCAGATTCGCCTGTCGACCTACCTGAAGACCTACCGGTACGCCGAAAATTCTCGCCGATTTGGATAATATTTGCGTGAAGGAGCAGGATCTGATATTTTTCTAGGGTTGGCGACATTGTCGATATCAAGGTCAACGGTGCCGTTCAGAAGGGGTCAGTACAAATTCCGCCCGGTTGAAATAGTGGGGATTCCGACATGAAGGATTTTGCGTGTTGGGATGCTCGAAAACTTTGAACGAATAATTGGTTTGCTGAGACATTTGGAAATAGTATGCCCTACAAGGTCTACAACGGTAAGACCGGTGTCGTCTACAACGTGACCAAGTCCTCCGTCGGTGTCCTCCTCTACAAGGTCGTCCGCAACCGCTACCTCGAGAAGCGCATCAACGTCCGCATCGAGCACGTCAAGCACTCCCGCTCCCGTGAGGACTTCATCAAGCGTGTCAAGGAGAACGCCCAGAAGAAGCGCCAGGCTAAGGAGCAGGGTGTCCACCTCCACCTGAAGCGTCAGCCCGTCATGCCCCGTGAGGCTCACCTCGTCGAGGGTACCGCTGCCGAGACCATCACCCCCATCCCCTACGACACCCACATCTAAACGAATCAAAAACGGTCGATGCGGTTGTTTGGTGTTTCTGGGTTTTTCAAACTTAGGGTGGGGCTTTGCAATGAGACGAAGCGAAACAGAGGGTTCCCAGATGTTCTATCACATCTAAATCCTGTGCATAGATTCCCCGGAATGAAAGAAAAAACAAAATTTCCATTTCCCTGTTCGAAAAATGATATCCATGCGTTTTGCCAACTACCGAAAAATCTGCGAATATGGCTTCTACGACACAACACTAGACTTGATAAACCCAGCACTCTCTCTCAACCTTGAAACCTGCATCCGATTCTTTAAACCCTACAACATGGTTTCTACGGTACGCAACTGTATGCCTGGGACGACGAGTGACGTATGGAGTAGTTTTGGCCCTCTTCGAGTTTAAGCCTCTGGGACGTTAGATGTAGCCTGCCTATCCGAAAGCCATATCGAACATGTACACGTAGGGCTGATTTACGATATTATTTGTATCTCTGGAATCTGGATAGTACCCATCTTCTTTCGATTCCCCGCAGTGGATATAGTAATTAAGTGCTATTATCAGCCTCCGCCCGATGAAGGCTGTTCCCCGTCGCTCTTCACTTGCTACATGTAGATTAGTTCTCCATCCCCAGTGACTTACCCTTATCGGGTTATCAGTGACGTGCAGGCCAGATTCAATGTCTATACTAGATCCTACGCTGCGCCTAAATCTATCATACTAGTGATACATCGTCGACTGCTTCCTACTAGGATGGCGAGTGAAAAATATAGGTCTAGTAACTTGAAGTTACTTGTTCGGGTCTATGAATCCTCCCCTTTTCCTACTCCTTCTAACGGGTCTCCTATTCCACAGAGAAATGTTCCCTTGGCAAGGTTACCACTACACTACTAGATCAGACGTCGCTAACGGTCAAGTGCTAGAACCATTTTCAAACTCAACAGGCTCAGATCGAGTGTCACTTTCATCAGGCGAACAGTTATAACCATTCGAGATTCTGTGCTTTCATGAACGATGTGCCCGGAAATTCCCCGGAAATTTTTAGTCACAGCATACGCAGTGGCAAATTGTATTAGGTATTCAAGACGCTATGCTTTGTTCTCAGATTCCAGGTTTCGACATGTGCTATGCGATTTGCCATCAGACAGCGCTGACGGATGAAGCAGAGACCATCAGCTAGCACCGTGAGTTACTTCGTCGGACAACATGATTCCAAACATACTAGCGACCCGAATGGCGCATGGGCAAGCCTGTTCGCGTGCAAAGGGGCCAGGTAATGGCCAAAGTCTGATAACCTGTTCGGAATCATAGCGCACATGGGCAACAGATTTGTTGGGAGTCAGAGGCTCCCGCTTTAGTGACCCGGCTAAGACACAGTGTATATGTGGGAAGGATGTAGCATCTCCAATAAGAAGACCTGTTTGTAGATGCTGACTATTTAGTTCAAAGGACACGACTTTAGTCAGGTCCAGATGGACTAATGTACTCCGTATGGTTCCTTTGAATGATTAGTAGGATAGGCCGCAATTTGGGTAGTCCGCAGTAGCCTATGGTGCCTGCATTGTTAGTGCCCCTTTGACCATGTCGATGCTACCATAGTCACCAGATCCGGTGGTGAAGTTATGCCAGGAAGACTTGACAGTCAGTTTGTACACCATGAAACTTTTTGCCAGCTTCCTTCTCGGAGTTGGTCGAAAACAGTAGCATTTTCCTTGCTGAGGCAGGAAGCTAGTACCCCGGGAATGCGGTCCGGTGCCGTTTCGGCAGGTCGATACACCTGTCAAGGGAGGGTCTCCGAAACAGTAGAGAGTATTTTTACAGAAAGGGTGAAGAAGAGCACCAGTAAATAGGAAAGAAGTTAATGGGGACCCCTAAAAATAAGTTGGTCCATTTCTTCCTTCCCCCCTCTCCAGGGGGTGTGGACAAGGTTGAATCGGCCCAGGAGCAAAAGCACAGCAGCAGTTCGGTTCGCGAAGAGAGTAAGTAACTCCAGCGCGGCTCCAGCCACAGGGTTTGCGGGAGGCCAGCGCGCTAACCGAAAGCAGCCCGCCTTAGTGCCTCAACCTGAACCGTCAAGTCATCGTCCATGACTGCAGCCATCACCCGATCACCATCCCGAGAAGCACCACCTCCTTCGTCACGAACCTCCCTTTCGGGACTCTCTCTCTCTGGGCAGCGGCCTTCTACCATAATACTGCCAGCCTTCTCACGCCCCGCCCTTCTGCCTCGACATTCACTTGGTTACCAGCCTCCTAACACTGGTCCCCTCTCCGCCGTCCACCTGGTCGTTCGGAGCTTTTACGGCTCAAGTAGTTGAGCTTACAGTTCAACCGTGGCGATTCTTGATACCTGACCATAGGTATATTCTCAGCCCGTCCCTTCTCATGCATTCATAAGTTCAGGATTACAGTCGCCACTTGTTTCCGTGTTTACAGTTTCAGAACATTTGTCTAACAGATGTCGCAACCTGTTGGCCTCACAGACTCAAGAATTGTTATGGCAGAGCAGAGCAGCCACGATGTGGTAGACCAAACCCTGTCGGGCGGCGATCCTTCGCCTTCCGACGTTCCTGCGAGCACCACCGACAAGAGATCTGCTGGAGGGGACGCGGGGGAGTTCAAAGACACCGCTACAACAACACAACCGGAGACGAACGCGAGTGACAAACAGGGTGAACAAGGAACGGGAACTACCGAAAAGTCAGAGCGAGAAAGCAAAACAAAAGATACCGATCAGACGCCGAGCGTGAGTGATGCCGACAACGACCTCGCAACATACCTACTGAACCCGACGCAGGATACCCCAAAGTCTGGTCCTCTGCCGGTCGCCGCACGGGCGCTCGAGATGAATGGAGTAACGTCTGGGTCAGATGCTGGGGAGGACACAGCGTCTCAGGGTGGTTCAGAGTCCGATGCCAGTCGAACAGAGGGCAGGCTCCGTGCCGGCTCGAAGAAGCCAACCTCCTTCAAGCCGGTTACATTCGCCAAGTTTTCTGTTCCCAAGGCGCCGGGAACTCCCCCGATAACAAAGGCTTCTGAGAAAGGTATTTTGCATTCACGCGTAATACAGAGGAATTAAGTCTGATTCACTACAGCCCCTATGACTTCCACTACCCCCCTGGGGACGCCGCCGCCAACCTCCCGTCCTCGCTTGGTCGTCAAGACTACTAGCAGCCTACGCGACTCGTTATCGAAAATGGGAACAGGTGCAGCCAAACCCGGTGGAGCTGGACCGGATCCGAACCAAGTTTGGAATAGGAATCGGCGTAAGACTACAAACCTTCCAGTTAACTGAGATGTGCTTCTGACCATCTTGTCCTTGCAGCCGTCCAGCAAACGCCTCCCAAGCACTTGACCGACGAAGAGTTGAAACAACAGTACGGCATCCATATGACCTCAAGGATACAGGAAGACGGCGGGGGAAGCGAAGCGAAATGGGCAGACATAGATGACGACGAGGATGATTGGGCCCCTGAGACGATTGAGTGGACTGATGGCACGAAAACTAACCTCACAAACCAAGAGCCTGCGCCATCCGCTCCAGTACCCAGCCAAGACACGGTGGCAGATGAATTCAAAAGGGAGTTTCCTCCAGTTGAGCAAGCAGCAGCAAGCATCAAGGAAGCACCAAAGTTCATACCGAAACCTACGACGTCTATTGGGCCAAATCCCACGGTGCTTCGACTCGGAGCAAATGCAGAAAGACAAGCAAAGAATGCCGGTCTTGCTGCAAAGGGACTGAATGACAAATCTCCTCTACTATCCACAAGTCCGGCCCCTCCGCCCGTCAAGTCGCCTTGGGCACCTCTGCCACCGGTTGAAAAAATCTCACCTGTTATTCCTCCAATCCAGGTTCAACCGCCGATGCGGGCTCCTGCTCGGGAACCTTACCCGACTGACGGTTCCGGTGGTCCCTTTCCTCCAAAGGAAATTGCTGCAGACGATTTCAACCGATCTTGGAAGGAGATGCAGTCTGGGACCCGGGAGCTCTACAATTCTCGATCTGGCCGCTATGAGCCTGCTCCTGACACGAGGAAGGGGCCTTGGCGCGCTGAACAGAGTTACCGTACCCCTGCCTTGTTGCAGAGGCCTGCCCAAGGTGAACAAAGTGGACCAGCAGAGCCCTCAGCCGCTTTCCAGACACACCGATCGAGCGGTCAAGATGGTATGCACTGGACACGGCGTCGGACATCGTCTAATGTGAGCGGGGGAAGTGGCAGCTTTGGGCGTCGGATGTCGATTGGTAGACCCGATGTGCCCCAGAAAGTGTTCGAATCTAGGAGGGGATCACAGGTGAACGGAATGATTGAAGCGGCCATCCCTCGTAGAGATATGCCACCTCCCAAGGAAGCTTCCCAACGCGAACTATCGCCTTCCCGACGTGGCCCTGGTCCTTGGCCTTCAAGAGGTGCTGCAAATGTGCAAGACAGAATAGCCAATGTACCGGGCGGGTCAGCACAGCCACCCACTGCCCCGACAGTGGAAGAGCAGCCAGCAGTGCCCCAACCGCCTCAGGAAGACCCTGTCGCTATGCAAGAACGCATCATGAAGGAAAAGAGGATGGAAGCTAGGCAGCGGAGAATAGAGCAGGAGGAGCGGGAAGAGGCTGCGAAGCGTGAAAGGATCCGGCAGAAGCTCGAGGCGCTTGGTCCTCCGCCCGAAAAGCCAAAATCAAGGCGTAAGGAGTCCATTGATGCCGGTAAGCCCGAGGCAAGCATCGCGCAGGCTACCGCGCAAGCGGCCCATTCTCCGCCGAAACCTCCAGTACCTGAACCGAGCGGGGAGCCGAAGCAATATGGCATGATGAAGGTCCACCATCCAGACACTGTGAAGAAGCTTGTGGATAGGGAAAGGGGCAATACGGATAAAGCACCACCGGTTGCTACTGCGCGACGCACGTCTTCGCCTGCGCGTGAGCCCAAGCAAGAGACTAGCCTGCCGAACGGATCTCAGCAACCCGTCGTTGCTGAAACATCAAGCTCAGATAACTTGCCGGATACCAAGGTCGACGAACA